AGTTAAGTTTCCGCCTGCAGCACCAGCATCTCACATGGACACTGGTTTGAATCCTGGCTGCTTCACTTTCAATCCAGCTTCCTAACAATGTGGCTGGGAAAGCAGCAGAAGATAACCCAAGTGCTTCAGTCCCTGCACCTGCATGGCAGGCTTTTGATGTGGGGAGAGAACCAGCAGAAGGAATATCTCTGTATTTTTCTCCTTCTCTGTGACTCTGCCTTTCTGATAAAAAATATATATATATTCCAATTTTTAAAAATACATTGCCTGGGGTCTGATGTGATGGATCAGTGGCTAAATCCTCACCTTGCACTTGCCAGGATACCATATGAGTGCCAGTTTGTGTCCTGGAACTCCACTTCCCATCCTGCTCCATGTTTGTGTCCTGGGAAAGCATTCGAGGATGGTCCAAAAAAAAGCCTTGGACTCGCACACCCACATGGGATACCTGAACAAACTCCTGGGTCCCAGCTTTGGATTGGCTCAGCTCCAACCATCACAACCACCTGAAGAGTGAACCAGCAGAAAACCAGAATCTGAAAAAGTGATGCCCTCAGGCACCAAGAAACTGAACACTAGTCAGAGGGTCTGGAATTAGAAGAGGAAGTAGAGGATACAGTGACCCGAGGAGCACAGACTCAAAGGAAGCAGCACTTCTCAAATCGAACTGATCATACCAAGCAGGAAGTCAGGTACAAGATCACCACAACTTTGGATTGATCAGAAAATAGACCGGATTACAATATTCAATGATGGCAACTATTTAGAAATAGAGGTGGGCACCATGGCACAGTGGACTAGGCCACTGCTTAGGATGCCCACATCCCATACTGGAGTCCTAGTTCTAGTCTCAGCCATTCTACTTCCCATCCAGACTCCCATGAATTCACCTAGGAAGCAGTAGATGAGTACCCAAGTACTGGGGTTCCTACCACCGACAGGAGACCTGAATGGAGTTCCTGATTCCTGCCTTTGGCCCGACCCTGACATAGTTGTTGCAGACATTTATTTGGACAATGAACCAGTAGATGAAGCTCTCTCTCTTTCTGTTACTTTGCCTTTCAAACAAAATAAGTAAACCTTATTTCAAAAGAAGACAAAAATGTTTAGACCACAATGCAGACCAAATAAATCTACTAGTGGGCCAGCCACCAGCTGGGCAGACTAGGCTCTCCATGGTTATGTGGAGACTTCCTAGAGCCTCTCTTTTAGAATGAAAGCTTTAACTGTTTAGCCTGACATGGCTACAACTTCTTCATGCAGTTTTCCAAACAAGCAGGACCATATTCATGTCTTAATTTTGAGACTTCTGAATTCTCCTGTCCTGTCCAGGAGGGAAGATTCCAAGATCATAGAACAAACAGAATACACTCCAGATTCAGGGCAGACCTTATATTTCCTCCAATTACAACCTAATTGGGCTGCTCCCATTGCCACTCCCATACAAAGACTTCTTCCCCACATGTCCCAATTGTGTGTAAAGCCTGATTCTATGCCCTTAAGTCCAAAGAAGAGAAGTAAGCCAAGCCCTAAAGCCCGGTTGGCTAGAGCAGAAAGGGTTTCATGACTTTGCCCTACCTCTGACAAGTTTTTACTCTTGGTATAAACTGGCAAAGTCTGGGTTTCTGGAACAGTTTGCAGGAATTCGAACCATAAGTAATATGTAAAAATGCATGCTGAAATGAATAAGGCCATAAGACACTGTGACTTTCTAAGAGGCTTCTCTTGCCATCAAAAGCTCAGTGCTTGGGGTAGTGTCATGACACAGTATGCTAAGATTCTGTCTGCAGTGCCAGCATTGCATATGGGTGTCGATTCATGTCCAGGCTGCTTTACTTCCAATCCAACTCCCTGAAAATGTGCCTGGAAAGGCAGCAGAGGATAGCTCAAGACCTTGAGCTCCTGCACTCATGTGAGAGACCCAGAAAAAGCTCCTAGCTTCAAACCAGCCCAGCTATAGACATTGTGGCCTTCTGGGGAGTAAAACAGCAGATGGAAAATTTGTCTTTTCTGTTTCTCTGTTTTTCAAAAGAAAAAAAGAAGGCTCAGTTCTTGGCAAGGATATGGGCTTCCAACACACAAAAACACGTGGATTTTTTTTTTAATTTTATGAATGTATATTGAAAAGGCAGATTTACAGAAAGGAGACACAGAGAGAAAGATCTTCCATTCGCTGGTTCACTCTCCAAATAGCTGCAATGGCTGGTGCTGAGCCGTACATAGACAAGGAACAAGGAGCTTCTTCTGAGTCTCCCTTATGCAGACAGGGTCCCAAGGCTTTAGGCCATCTTCCACTGCTTTCTCAGACCACAGCAAACAGCTGTATTGGAAGTTGAGCCACTGGGACTCAAACCAGTACCAACGTGGAATGTTGTGCTTAGGAGGTGGAAGATTAGCCAACTGAGCCAAAGTGCTGGGCCCAGAACATTTTTATTTTTTATGTATTTAATATTATTATTACTATTACTATTATTATTAGAAAGGCAGATCAGATTTACAGAGATAAAAATAGATATAACGATCTTTAATCCACTAGTTCATCCCCCAACGGCCTGTGATGGCTGGAGCTGAACTGAATCAAAGCTAAGAGCCAGCAGCTTCTTCCAGGTCTTCCGCATGGGTGTGGGGTCTCAAGGCTTTGGGCCGTCCTCTACTGCTATTCCAAGCCATAAGCAAGGAACTGGAAGGGAAGTGGAGCTGCATATTCAAGGTGAGGGATTTGGCCGCTAGGCCTCTGCACTGGGCCTGAAGCTATAATTAACGTGCTCATCTTTGGGGCCCGGAGCAATAGCTTAGCTGCTAAAGCCCTTGATTTGCACACACCAGGATTCCATATGGGTGCCAGTTTGTATCCTGGTGGACACACTTCCCATCCAGCTCCTTATCTGTGGCCTGGAAAAGCATTAAGCACAGCCCAAAGCATTAGGACCCTGCCCCTACACAGCAGACCCGGAAGAGGCTCCTGGCTCCTGCCTTTGAATAAGCTCAGCTCTGGCCATTGCCGCTGCTTGGGGAGTGATCAGTGCACAGATCTTTCTCTCTGCTTCTCCCCCTCTCTGTAGATATGACTTTTCAATTAAAAAAAAAATTTTAAATCTAGGGCCTGGCTTGGTAGCCTAGCATCTAAAGTCCTTGCCTTGGGCCCGGCGCAATGGCACAAGTGGTTAAGGTCCTCGCCATGCACGCCCGGGATCCCATATGGGCACCGGTTCTAATCCTAGCAGCTCCACTTCCCATCCAGCTCCCTGCCTGTGACTCGGGAAAGCAGTCGAGGACGGCCCCAAGGCTTTGGGACCCTGCACCCGTGTGGGAGACCCAGAAGAGGCTCCTGGCTTCGGATCGGCATAGCATCGGCCGTTGCGCTCACTTGGGGAGTGAATCATCGGACGGAAGATCTTTCTCTCTGTCTCTCCTCTCTGTATATCCACCTTTCCAATAAAAAAATAAAATAAATCTTTAAAAAATAAATAGATAAAACAAATAAAGTCCTCGCTTTGCACGGACCAGTATCCAGTATGGGCGCCAGTTCTAATCCCAGCAGCCCTGCTTCCCATCCAGCTCCCTGTTTGTGGCCCGAGGACTGCCCAAAGTCTTGGGACCCTGTACCTGCATGGGAGACCCAGAAGACATTTCAGGCTCCTGACTTCGGACTGGTGCAGCTCCAGCTGTTGCAGTCACTTGAGAGTGAATCAACAGACATAACACCTTCCTCTCTGTCTATCCTCTTCTCTGTCTGATTTTCCAATAAAAATAAAATATTTAAAAATAAATAAACAAACAACTCTCTACAGAAAGTACTCATCTTTTGATGGTAAATGATGGGTGATTTGAGGATAATCATTTTCCCTTTAAGGAGAATGAATTATAAGCAGAAAAACAGTGAGTCTTTAGAGAGCTCTGTGAGGGGAGTGTCCTCCTGAACAGTGCCCATCAGACAGATGGCAGGCACCCACCTTTCCCCCACATCCTTTCAATGTGCCAAAGGATGTGAAGGGGTTTCCTTTAGTATTTATTTTCAACAAACGTCAGAAGACATGGTGTACTGCACAATCATTTATGGCTAACTCCAAGGCACCCTCGGTCTATTTTTAACATAGTGGATAAACAATATATACTGCCAAAGCTTTCACAAGCAAATATGGAAAGAACAGCATAGAATTAAGTGACTTGGGCAGCACAGGGCTAAGGAGCACAGGTAACTCCAGGCCACTTCTCAGCTAAGACAGCAGCTGTGCAAAGCCAGGTAAATTCCCAGTCATCATCTCTGCTGTGAATGCCTCCTTTTTACCCCCTCAGAGAAAAAACAGAAATCTACTGGGATATCTCAGGCTCTGTCCTCAGAGACCGAAATGTAGGGAAGGAGCCACCTTTCTCCACTGGCCACAGGAGGAGCTTGTTTACAAAACCAGTGTGAGGAAATCCAAAGCAGTAATAGGAACAAGCCATTCCAACGTGGTGCCTTCTGCTTGCAACGGACAGGAAAGAGGCCAGTGCTGTGGATCTTGGGGACCCCCACAGTTGGAAGAACCCGATTTCCTCAATGAAGCCTTTTAACGGGCTTATGGTGAGAAACTGGGAAGTTAAAGAACATTTTTCTTTGGAAAGCAAAATAAAAAACTCAATGTTCAGGGAATTTTGCAAGTTAAGTTACAACTACTAAAGTGTATGCCAATCAAAATACCTGACATGACAAATATAAGACGTGCACCAACCTGTCAGCTAGACTAGGGAACAAAACCCAGGAGCAGCCAAGAACAGAAGAAATGAGAGGCACCAAAAACCAGAAACAAATTCATGTTTCTCCTTTGTCTAGCCCTTATGCTTACTATTGTCTAAAGATCAAATGGGACTTTGGTGAAATTACTTCTTCTTCTTCCTCCCTCCCCAAAAAAGAGCAAAAAAAAAAAAAAAAAAAAAAAAAAGCCTTCAAATATGGTACCAATACCGCCATTACAACAGCCCACTGCACACCCATGTCACATTATTCAGCCCAGACTTACATATGCAAGCAGCAGCGAGGAGACGGCAGGCCAGGTACGGAGGATCGCAGGAGGGGAAAGAGGGCTGGATGATGTAGTTGGCAAAGGTGATGGCAATGATGGCCTGACCGGTAGGCTCAACAATCAGCAGTGAGGCCCACAGGCGGATGAAGGCAATGAAGCCCCCAAAGGCCTCTAGAATATATGCATAGCTGGCCCCTGACTTGGTAATGGTGGTCCCCAGCTCTGCATAGCAAAGGGCACCCACAACAGAGAAGAGCCCACCAATTGCCCACACAGTCAGTGACAACCCATAGGAGGCAGTATATTTCAGCACACCCTTAGGTGAGACAAAAATCCCTGAGCCAATCATGTTGCCCACTACCAAGCTGATCCCATTCAGCAGGGAGATCTCTTTCTTCAGCTGCATGGTCTCCAGGGGCTCTTTAGGTGACGGGCTGGCATCTTCTTCCACCGTGGGCTGGCTGGCTTCTGGAAGGAGATGGTAGGTGGGGGTGGGGCTCCCAAGCTCCCTGGTTTCCATGGTAAATGGTTCTTGCACACCTGTGTTCACTGTAGCCTGGAAAAGAATACAAGTATGTCCGTCGAGGGTAGGAATCAGTGAAGTTCTGGTTTAAGACCCTCAAGACAGGCAGGATTCTCTGCCTATCTCCTCCTCAGGGTCACACACAGTCCTACATACAGTAAGTCTGCCTCAGTTACTAGATAGAACACAACGAATTGGAGGCAGCCCTTCACTGCTCCTGAGAAAGAACCTGCGACAACTCTATAATGACTTAGGACAAACAATACTTACCTTACCTTCCAGGGTAGGCTGGCATTAGGTTTATTCAGAGCATCAACTCTCCTGGAGGTCTTGTTTTGATCTGTTCTCATCAGCTCAAAATCCACAAACCTGCTCCTATAGAACAGACCAGTCCTTGCACCTGGTACACTACTTTAACGGCCTATACGCCTCTCATTGTCCACACCCTGGCAATCCCGCCCAAACCTAATGAGGGCCTTCTGCACTGTCCAGCAACATGTGGGGAAGTCTGTGGTTACACTGAGACCAGCAGAGACCTCTGGGAGGGGCTAAGGAGCCAACACCACAGTATATCACTAGTACAGAGACTGCATCTAGGATAAGACTCGAACATCCATGAGTTGCTGAGTCCACAGCACCCACCTTACTTCCCTGATTCCACACCTAACATTGCTTTTCCATTCCCTAAGTTTCTGTACCAGTCACATTTCAATTCTGAGTCCCACCTCATCTTTGAGAAAGGAATGGTAAGCATTTGATTTCCCCTCAGTTACCATTCCTATAAGATCATAGGGATAGGGCCCAGTGCGATGTGGCTCAGTGGCTAAATCCTTGCTTTGCACATGCTGGGACCCTGTATGGGTGCTGGTTTTTTGACCCAGCTACTCCACTTCCCTTCCAGCTCCCCGCTTGTGGCCTAGGAAAGCAGTCGAGGATGGCCTAAAGCCTTGGGACCCTGCACCAGAATGGGAGATCTGGAAGAAGCGCCCAGCCACTTTCCGTCTAGCTCCCTGTGAATCTGCTAACGCACTTGGGAAAGCAGTGAAGGATGGCTCAAGTTATGAATCTACATGAAAGATCCAGAAAACTCTTCTAGCACCCGGCTTCAGATGAGCCCAGCTCTGGCTGCTGCGGCCATGTGCAGAGTGAATGAGTAGATAGAAGATCACTCTTGCGCTCTCTCTCGCGCTCCCTCTCTCTCTCCCACTCCTTCTCTCTATAACTCTTTCAAGTAAAAATAAATCTGTAAAAAAAATTCATACGGCTGGCACACTGGCTCAACTGGCTAATCCTCTACCTCCAAGGACAGGTATCCCTTATGGGCACCAGCTCATGGTTCCTGTACCAGCTGCTCCATTTCCCATCCAGCACCTTGATTGTGGCCTTTGGACCCTGCATCTGCATGGGAGCTCTGGAAGAATCAGTGGGTGGAAGATCTTTCTGTAAATCTACTTTTCCAATGAAACTAAATAAATCATTTTTTAAAAAAAATCATATGCCAGAATCTGGGGGTCTCATGGAATTCAGAGCAAAGTAAGCAATTATTCCAGAGTGATCAGTTCTTAGGGAAATTTTTAATCTCCACATAAACCCATGAAAACTTGGCCCTACCTGTCATAATACCCTTCCAGGCTGATCTTGAGCCCAAATGAGAAAGCTTCTCTGGGGCACTAGTCATCTTTTCCCAGTTCCAGAAGAACTGAGCCAGTCTACCTCTGCTTAGCCGAGCCCTGGCTTTACTAGGCAGCACCACTTCTCGCTTCACTTCTGGCACCAAGCCATGGAGGTTTTTCTACCTGGGCCTGTGGGAACATACTTGTTTTCACGTGTCTGTCAGGTGAGCACTGGCTTGGGAACAAAAGCAGTAAACACCTGAAAAGCTCATTGTCTCACAAAAGACTCAGGCACAGGGATCTGGATTGCTCTCTCGATTTCACCAACAGAGACAGCACAGAAGCCAACCCCAGGGACCACTCCAGCTTGCCTGATTCCATTGAGTCCTCACTGGGCTACCATGAGTTAATTTTGTATTTGTAGGGAGGATCTGGGGAGGGGTTGGGGGAATCCCAGAGCCTACCAAACTGTGTCATGAAACAAAATTAAAAAAAATTTTGTATCTGTACAATTTGTAAGTGGCTTATAAAAGGTGTCTGATACCCTGGTGAAACTATTCAGATGCATTTTTAAGAGGGGTGAGGTACTATCGCAGCCCTTAAGATCTCTGCTCTAGATCGTAGTCCCAGCACCTGAACAAGGACAGGGTTCTTGTTGGAAGGTTCTGAGGAAGGCATCTTCTAGCCAAAGGAAGAGGAAGAGTCACACAACCGAAGGTGGATAAGTCTTATTTCTCTTCCTTCAGTTAAAAAAAGTCATCAGGAGCCTGTTCCTAGCCAAAACCCCTACCTCTTTGCAGATCATCATATAGCTGTAATGGCTCCTCAGCAGCTCTCCAAGGGCAGCTGGCTACACTATAACTGAGGTCACCCTTCACCTACTCTCTACACCTACCTCGTGCACTTCTCCAGCATCTGCGGGACCCATATCATGCCCACTCTGTGCTGGGACACAGAAGTGAACACAGTTGCCTTGGGCTGTGCCCTTCCAGCCAGTATGGCAGCACGGAAATGAGATGGACCTAAGGTAAACACTGCCTGGGTCAGAGACCAGAGCTCCTCAAGCACCTGTACCTTACCCTCTCTGACAGGTACCTTCCCAAACAGTCACACTGATCATCTGTCAGCACCAAACTCACAATAAGAAACTCCTGTAAAACATACAGTCAACAGGCCTGGTACGGTGGCCTAGCGGTTAACGTCTTTGCCTTGAACACGCCGATCCCATATGGGCACCAGTTCTAATCCCAGCAGTTCTAATCCCTGCTTCCCATCCAGCTCCCTATGGCCTAGCGGTTAACGTCTTTGCCTTGAACACGCCGATCCCATATGGGCACCAGTTCTAATCCCAGCAGTTCTAATCCCTGCTTCCCATCCAGCTCCCTGCTTGTGGCCGGGGAAAGAGAATGGCCCAAAGCCTTGGGACCCTGCACTTGCATGGGAGACCCAGAAGAGCTCCTGGCTCCTGGCTTTGGATTGGCTCAGCTCCAGCCGTTGCGACCTCTTGGGGAGTGAATCATCGGATGAAAGATCTTTCTCTCTCTGTCTCTCCTCCTCTCTGTATATCTGACTATCCAATAAAAATAAATAAATCTTTAAGAAAAAACATTCGGTCAACAATGCAAATTGAAAAATGGATGGGAAGAAGATTGCAAGCTCAATTCACTAGAAAATAAAATAAATTCAAGATAAAGCAGAAAGTTCTAGACTTTCAACTTCCAATTAGGATGTTGAAAGCTAGAAAAAGTATCACTTCCACTCTAAAAACAAAAAGAAAATTCAGGTTATGTTAAACACACACACACACAATTTTTCCTGAAGCCATCAGAAAGCTGGGTTTACAGGGCAACCAATTAGACTAAAACTGAATACGGAGAGAGGAGCCAGCGCTGCGGCTCAACGGGCTAATCCTCCACCTTCAGTGCTGGCATCCCATACGGCTCATGTCCTGGCTGTTTCACTTCCCATCCAGCTCGCTCCTAATGCACCTGGGAATGCAGTGAAACATGACCAAAGTCCTAGAGACCCTTCATACATGTGAAAGCTTGAAGAAGTTCCTGTCTTAAGATCAGCTCACCTCTGGCCATTGCAGCCATTTAGGGAGTAAATCAGCAGATGGACAATCTTTCCCTTTCTATCTCTGCTCTCTGCAACTCTGTCTTTCCAATAAATAGAAATATATAAAGTCCTTGTCCTGAATGCACCTTGGGATCCCATATGGGTACCAGTTCTAATCCCAGCAGCTCCACTTCCCATCCAGCTCCCTGCTTGTGGCCTGGGAAAGCAGTCAAGGATAGGCCAAAGCATTGGGACCCTGCACATGTGTGGGAGACCTGGAGGAGGTTCCTGGTTCCTGGCTTCAGATCTGTGCAGCACTGGCCGTTGCAGTCACTTGGGGAGTGAATCAACAGACAGAAGATCTTCCTCTCTGTCTCTCCGCTTTTCTGTATATCTGACTTTCCAATACAAATAAATAAATCTAAAAAAAAAAAAAAAAAGAAAAGAAAAAGAAATATATCTAAAAAACAAAGGGGGGAGGCAGAGAGAAAGAAAAGCCACAGTTCATCTCCGGCAGAGGGAAAAGAGGCAACCACCACATAAGCACACCTTCCAAAGGAAATTCTAAAGGTCAAGTGTAAGTTAGCAAAAGCCACACTCACAGCTTTTCTCCAGACTGGAATGCTCAGAGAAAACAAACATGGGGACAAAAACACTCCAGTGCCAATGCCTGAGGGGTGGAAGGCACAAGTAATTCTGCTCTGGCCATTAATCCTACCTAAAGGACAAAGAGAAAATCACTCAGAGCCAGCCCCAAAACCTAAGAAAACAGGGCCTCTAACAGGGCCGACCCAGGAAAATATGCTCTCTACCACCAGTTTAGCAAGCACCTGGGAATAAACAAGGGTGGGAGACTGTGTGTGGAGATCTACAGCCAGGGTGGAGCAAAAACAGTGAGGAAAAGCCTTCCTCCAGCAAACCAGTTCTAATGAGAACACTAGGAAACATCCAAGGAATTCAAAGCCATTGATGCCCCTAGGTAACCACAGCAACAAACCCAAAATACAACTCACCACTTAACTGACTCAGAATCCCACACTAACAGCCTAGCGAAAGAAAAAGCACACTCTATTGTACCTCATTCCTAGTGTTCCACACACTGCATGTGGTAATTATTAACAAATTACAAGCTACGCCAAAAAAATAAAAGGCAAGAAAATCAATACTCTATAAAGAGGCAAAGAAAATGATAAACCAGGGCCAGATGTAGCATGACTCAGATACTGGAAACATCAAATAGGGAATAATTAAATTTAATACACTACAGCAACTAATGAAAAAGCTGGACAGATTTGCAAGAGTACATAGCAGGAACAAATGCAGAATTTCAACAGAAAGATGAAAAGCATTAAGAATCAAAATGAGGGGGCTGGCACAATGGTTCAAGTGGCTACATCTCCACCTTCAAGTGCAGCATCCCATATAGGAGCCAGTTAATGTCCCGAATGCTCCACCTTCCATCCAGCTCCCTGCTTATGATGTGGGAAAGCATAACCCAAGACCCTGGGACCCTGGACCCAGATGGGAGACCTAGAAGAGCTCCTGGCTTTTGGCTTCGCATTGGTTCAACTCCAGTTGCTGTTGCCATCTGGGGAGTGAACCAGCAGATGGAATATCAAAAGAAACAAAATGAGGAAAGAGAGGGGGAAAAAAACCACAGACCGTCTAAAGAGCCTTTGGGGTCATGCTCTTTTAAATAAATAAATATTTTAAAAATAAAGCTAGGCTGTTATTACTTACAGCTCATTAATTAAAGAGGACCTAAATACTTGGGTTCCTGACTTCTGCCTTCAAACCATTGCTATCCCTAGTTCTTGAAGGCGTGTGGGGAGTAAACGATCAGATGGGAGCTCTCGCTGGCTTTGTCCCCTCCCCAACCTCTAGGTTACTCTGCTTTCAAGTAAAACAAACTTAAAAAAAAAAAAGCTGGCGTAGTGGCACAGCGGCTTAAACTCTTGCTTTGATGCTGGCAATCCAAATATGGGTATTGGCTCAAATATTGGCTGTTCTAATTCTAATCCAGCTAAATGCTAATGTGTCTGGGAAGGCGGTTCAAAATGTCCCCAAGCAGGTAGGTCAGTCCCTGCCACCCTGTAGAAGACAGATGGAGTTCTGGGGCTCTGGCTTTGCCTTGGACCAGGCCTGGCTGTGGCAGTTATTTGGTGAATGAACCAACAAAGGGGAGATTTCTCTGTTGACAGTTTGGCTTTTCAAGTGAATCAAACAGATAAAAGATTAGGAGACCATTAAAAAAAAAGAATAAAAAAGATGGCTGGAAAAGAAGAAAATAGCAAAAAATATATACAGACCATGGAACAAACAGAAAAAAAAACTAACAAGACTGGGAGATTTTAATGCAATTACGTTGGTAAACACATTAAATATAAACACACGATCAAAAGACAGACATTGTCAGATTAAAGAAAAAAGTAAAATCGAATATACACCCACTTTAAACATGAAGACAGACAGAAGTGACGGACAAAAGGATGGAAACAAGCATGTAGTCAGTAATCTGTCACAGCACTTGCTCTTTAGGTAGCAACTGATAAAGAAAAAAAAATGACAAAAGCGCTACTAGTACTATTGCAGTAATTCTGAACTCACTGTATTTAGTCAGTCACCACGGTACCTCACACCTGTGTGAGGCACGCCCCTAGCAGAGCAGATCCGCAGAGCTCTGCAGCAACACGATGAAAACCACCTAGGCAAGAGCCCCTAACAAGCCTAGACTTCTAGCTAGGGAAGTTGGCATTGCGAGGCATCATCAGTATTCTACCAAAGACATCCTTGTTGGGATGTCTTTCTGTCTTCAATTTCTTTTTCCGATTAACAAAAGAAACAGGTATGTGAGGCTCATTCACATACAGTATCAATCTCACAGTTTCTTTTTCCATATCACACTGACATTCCTAAAAATCACCACTGGAAACAATTTTCATTACATAAGTCCATATATCTGTCTTGGAAAATCAGTATTTGTAAGGACACACATAATTTCATAACAGGATTTCACCCTATTATCCCATTGTCCTGAAGCAGACAATAAAAGAATTTACCAGATCACTAAAATCTTCCCATGAAAATTTAACCATGCTACTTCATATGCAATTTTTAGGAAAAAAAAGATCAAAGTTAAGTTACACGGCAAGTTTTACAAACTAGATTAAAACTTCTTCCATAATCAATGACTAGAAAAAAAGATGCCGTTGAGCATTATAGCACAACTTAACTGTAATGGAAACATGGAGGACTTGTCTTTTCTGTACTTCTTTGATTTCTATATATATTATCCTAAAAAATTTATTTTTCTTAAAAGTAAATTTTAAAGAAAGAATTGGAGGACCCGGCATGGTGGCCCAGTGACCAACTCCTTCTTGCCTTGCATCCACCAGGATCCCATATGGGATCATATATAAGTGCCAGTTCATGTTCTGACTGTTCCATTTCCCATCCAGCTCCCTGCTTGTGGCCGGAGAAAGAGAATGGCCCAAAGCCTTGGGACCCTGCACCCACATGAGAGACTTAGAAGCTCCTGGCTCCTGGCTTCAGATTGGCTCAGCTCTGGCCATTGTGGCCCACTTGGGGAGTGAACCAGCAGACAAAGATCTTTCTGTCTCTCCTTCTCTCTGTAAATCTGCTTTTCCAATAAAAGTAAATATTAAAAAAAAGAGAGAGAGAAAATTAAGAGATGAAGAGAGGGCTTCCACCCACTGCTCCACCCCCCAAATGGCCAGAGCTGAGCTGATCCGAAGCCAGCAGCCAGGAACCTCCTCTGGATCTCCCACATGGGTCCAAGGTCCCCAGGACCTAAGCAATCCTCTGCTGCTTTCCCAGCCCATAGACAAGGAGCTAGATGGGAATAGGAGAACCCAGGATCGTTGCCGATATAGGATTCCGGCACTAGCCAGCAGAGAATTAGCCCGCTACACCACCACATGAGTTCCATATTTTCCACAGTGAGTATGTACCCAGTTATTTTCTTCATGCTACACTAAAATATATTTATTATATTTTTCTAACAAATACAAAAAGTTTTAATACCATTTATACTTGTCTTCTTACCAAGGATACCAGGAAACTCCAGATAAAATTCAGCTCCCAAGTATAGTTGATCAGATGCCATAATTTCAACAATATATTCTGCCTAAGAGGGAACTTCATTAAGTTCACAAAAAAATGAACTTAAAAGGTAGGTTATTTGGGCCAGAGCTGTGGCACAGCAAGTTAAGCTGCTGCCTACAAGCTGCCATTCCATATGGGCACAGGTTCAAATCCCCACTGCTCCACTTTCTATCTAAGCTCCCTAATAATGTATATAGGAAAGTAACAAAATATGGCCCAGAAAGCCTAAGTCCTTGAGTTCCTGCACCTACTTGGAAGACCCAGAGAAAGGTTCTGGCTCTTGCTTCTAGACAGGCCCAGCTTTAGCCAATGTGTCCATTTGGGGAGTGAACCAACCCAGGGAAGATCTCGATTTTTCTTTCTCTGTCAATGCTTTCTTTCAAATAAATAAATAAACTTCTGTTAAAAAGAAAAAGAAAGATAGGTTTATTTTGGTACAAACATATTTTGAAATCCAGGCATATGAGGCATCTTAGAAATCTTCATGGAAAATGTGTGTTGTGAAAGAACTATGCATGGGTTTCAAAATTTTTTGCACCAAAACAAGGTTATCTTTTAATTTTATTTTCTACAAACTTTCTGAAGTACCATGTAGCTGTCTCCATAGCTATGCTTTTCTACTTCTTTTCAACAACTTCATTAGTATCTGTAATCATAAGCTACCACAATTACTCTTTAGAAAGAAATGTAATATAAAAATGTAATATGAAAAGTATTTATACAATAGTTTTACAAAGCACATAACACTAAAAAAGTTGTTAATTATGTGTGAGATATTCTCTTTACTAGCTTCATGTTCATATTATATACAAATAACTAAAACTCTTTATAAATGGTAGTAGAGGGGCCCAGCACGATGGTGCAGTGGTTAAGGTCCTCGCCTTGCACGCCCGGGATCCCATATGGGTGCCGGTTCTAATCCCGGCAGCCACACTTCCCATCCAGCTCCCCGCCTGTGGCCCAGGAAGGCAGTCGTCCAAGGACGGCCCAAAGCCTTGGGACCCTGCACCCGCGTGGGAGACCCGGAAGAGTCTCCTGGCTTCGGATCGGCATAGCATCGGCCATTGTGCTCACTTGGGGAGTGAATCATCGAACGGAAGATCTTCCTCTCTGTCTCTCCTCTCTGTATATCCGCCTTTCCAATAAAAATAAAATAAATCTTTTTTTTTTTTTAAAATGGTAGTAGAGAACAGAATGGCAATATTTACCTGTCAAGAAATAAGTGAAAATCACAGTATGACAAGCTCCCTCATCATAAATGGAAAAGCTTCTAAGAAGAAACTCAAGTCTCCGCAGACAGGACTAAATCATTCCACTTGGCTCTCCTGCCCATTTAATCTCTGCAACAAAGAAAAAGAGACGATTTACCGAAAAAACAAATTGAGTAAGTAGCACAACGGTATTTGCCTCTGTACAATTTCCACTTCACATGCCCTTTGGGGACATTCCTCAATTACTGAGAAGTGCCATCACGCCTACAGTGCGTCCCTCAGAAGCAGCCAGCCCCAAGGGTTGGAGCATGTGGGCTTGGTCAGCTCCCTGCATGTCTGGGCAGCTGCTGCTGGCCCCGGGGCCTCTCGGTGCTGTTTGTATAGAAACGGATCCTCAGCCTAGTGGCTACAGGGAAGCAAAGGGCTTAGGAAATTTCATCTACCAAGAAGTTTCTGGAAGATCAGACAGGTCACACGTGTATACCCTTTCTGCTCACCAATTAAAAAAAAAAAAAAAACAGGTCCACAGCAAACCAAGGAAGGAGGTGGCCATGAGAAATAGAAAATCAGGCGTGTGGTTTCCCTATCTGTCTGCCAGGAAAGGAAAATCAAATACAGTAATTTGGCTGGAAAAACAAAAAAAAAGATCACAAATAGAAGAGGGCCCTGCTGTAAGGCTCGAGTTCATGCTCAGAACCAGAAATCCATACAGAATAAAGTTCAGTTTAAAACAAGCTTTATTGGAATCAGTCGGGTCACACAGGTATACCCTTTCTGCTCACCAATAAAAAAAAAAAAAATTTTTTTTAAAAAAGACAGGTCCACAGCAAGCCAAGGAAGGAGGTGGCCATGGGAAACAGAAAATCAGGCGTGTGGTTTCCCTATCTGTCTGCCAGGAAAGGAAAATCAAATACAGTAATTTGGCTGAAAAAGCAAAACCAAATCTCAAAAAAAGAAAATCAGAAATAGAAGAGGACCCCAGTAATAATGTTAGCAGAAAGAAAGAGCACCTGCTGAAGGCTCCCATGGAATGCAGAAAGAGGTACTGGCTGCCACACCACCGTGTCGCCACACAGCCCAGTGCCCAAAACAGGTGCACCGGCCCACCTCTTCATTCAAAGGTGGATTGCGCTAGACCCTGACCCTACACGGGCTGACTTTTCTAGAACATTTCACTTCAAACTTAAAACATTTCAGAGGTGCAATGGTCCAGCGGGCCAGGACAGAACTAAACGGAGCACCTCATCCCCACTCTGATCGCACTCTGTCCTTGGGGAGTCCCCTGCCCGCGAACAGACTCAGCTTCCTCACAGCTGAGCTGCTTCCTCTCTCCCCACGCCGCAGCTCTGCCCAGCCAGCCACAGGCCGGGCCTCACACTCACCCCTCCGCTTTCCCCCACAGCCCTGCTCCCACGCCACCGCACACCAGCCCTCCTGTCCCGGGTCCCCCTCCAAATCTCTCGCCCATCGGGGTCCCACAAGTCCATGAAGAGGCACCCTCACACTCACGGTCCTCCCCTTCCCTCACCCTCAGGGTCTCGCGCCCGCACAAAGTCGCCATCAGACTCAGGGTCGTCCCTCTTAACACAATCAGCCTCACGCGCAGGCCCCCCCCCCCGCCGCCGCCGCCGCCGCCCCGACCCACACCCTCAGGGAGTCATCCTCACGCTCGGGGTCCCTCGCGCCCTTACAGCGTCCCCCGCCCCTCCAGGAGGCCGCAGGGCAGCGCGCCGTTTCCGGGCCCGTATCCCGCACGCGGCGGCCGCGGCGGCGGGAGCGGGGGCCGCGGAGAATTCGGCTCCACGGGAGGTGGCCCCCCGCCCGGGCCCCGGAGCCGCTCGGCCCTACTTCGCAGCCCCTCACGACCCCCCCTCTCGAGCCCCCTCAACCCCCGAAGCCCCTCACCACCACGACCCGTTACCTCTCCGCAGCCTGGCGCCGCCAGGATGCTCCGTCGCGCAGCCGGCTCCGCTGCCGTGGCCGCTCAGGCCCCGCCCCCGCTACGTCATTCGCCGCTGAGCGCGATAGCGCGCGTCGCTTCGGGACCAGGCGGTGTGCCAGGCCTGCCGGCAACTGCGCTTCCGAACGCTGGGAGCCCGCCGCCCGCTCGGCTCCTCAGGGCCCCCCCGGCCCAGCAGCCCCCAGCTGGCTTCGCCGAGCCCCTCACGAGCCCGTGACCTTGGCTCAGCCATGCTGGTCCCGACCTTGCCCTGCGTCGCCAAGGGCTTCCACACCGGCATCCTCCCTCAGGAAGCCCCCCCACCCCACGTTCCTACTGACCATTTGGCTTGAGCCCTCTGCCCAGGGGACCCCATTCGGGTCACACACAAGCTGACTCTCCGGTGGGATCCGGAGAAGTTACACACCCCAGGACTTCCCTTTGAACTCTCACAGCTCAGACCTGCATCCAGGCAAACGTAGACAGCGCCCGGCTTCTTTTTGCCAGCCTCAAACCTGGGCTCTTCCCCTCAGTTTCTTGTCCACGTCTCAAGGACCTGGGCTGGGGAGTACTGTCCCCAGCAGTGCCCATGACTGCCCATCCTCTGACCACAGACCACACCCACATCCCTGTCCAACCCCAGTCAGACCCTTCCCTTTCCCAGGACCTGCATCAGGCATCTTAACTTCCCACTCAGTCCCTGTCTCACTCCCTCTAGCCTTGGCCCCGCAGGGTAAATGTTCCTAAAATTGATTTGGATGACTTAGTCTCCCCTGCCCAAAAGCCTGCCCAGCTTTCTTCCTAGAGGCCTGAGATGACCTGTGGATCTAACCTCCTCGTTCTGTTACAATAAACACCTTCTCTAAGTGTGACTGGGTGTGTGCGTCCCATCAGTACAGTCTGACCCTTTGTCTCCAGGAGCAGCTCCTCCAGCCTCTGTCTGGGCAGAGGGACAGTCCTGGACACGTGATCACTCACTGGCCGTCAGTCCACTTGTCCTCACACTGAGCACACTGACTGTCTAAGTCTTCAACACCACCGCCAGTGAGCCTTAGGACCCTGCCTGCAGGGTACATTCTGTGTCCATTCTTCACTTGCAGAACCAGAGATGCAATTAAGTCAGGAGGAGGCACCCCCAGAAGACATGGCTGGAGCTGGCAATGCCAGGATTTGCCCCCCTCCCCTGGGGTCAGATGGCCCTGAATCATGCTCTAACTCCTGGTCCTCTTTCTGTGGCTGTAAACCTAAGGGTGGCAGTGGGGCTGAGAAAGGCTGGAGTAGGGCTGGACTTGGGGCTAAAACTTCCTTTCCTGCTGTCATCCTATCACAGAGGCCAGCGCTCAGCTGGACATGTATATCCCCAGGCACACTCATTTCCTCTCTAGGCCACCCTACCCACCAGGTTTGGCTAATAGTATAATAGCTGGTACCATGAGAAGGTTTAGAGCGCCCTCTAGTGGCCCTGAGTGAACCAAAGCGTAGAAGCTAGCAAGGCTCACAGGATCTGGGTCCTGCACAATGTTCCTGCCAGGAACCCATCCCTATGAATGTTTCCATCTCAGACTCACTTTTTCCGTTTCTATTTGACCTATTCTCTTGGACTCTGTTTTTGCCCATCTCTGTCCATCTTGATCTCTGTAATCAGTCTATCTGGTCTCTTCTTCCCTCAATATCTCAAAAGAAGTTAGGTTAGAATCAAAGAACATAGGCCCGGCATGGTAGCTGTGGTTAAGGTCCTTGCCTTTAACATGTTGGGACCCCATATGGGTGCCAATTCTAATCCTGGCAGCCCCGTTTCCCATCCAGCTTCCTGCTTGTGGCCTGGGAAAGCAGCTGAAGACAGCCCAAAGCCTCGGGACCCTGCACCCGCGTGGGAGACCCGAAAGAGGCTCAGGGCTCCTGACTTCGGTTCAGCGCAGCTCTGGTCATTGCGGCCACTTGGGGAGTGAACCATCAGATGAAAGATCTTCCTCTCTGTCTGTCCTCCTCTCTGTATATCTGACTTTCCAATAAAAATAAAATAAATCTTTAAAGTCCTTACCTTGCATCCCCCAGAATCCCATTTGGGTACCATGTTCTTGTTCCAGCTGTCCCACTGTCCATCCAGCTCCCTGCTTTTGGCCTGGGAAAGCAGTTGAGAACAGACCAAAGCCTTGGGACCCTGCACTCGTGTGGGAGACCCGGAAGAAGCTCCTGGCTCCTGATTGGCTTAGCTCCAGCTGTTGCGACCACTTGGGGAGTGAAACAGCAGATGGAAGATCTTTCTGTCTCTCTTTCCTTCTGTAAATCTGCTTTTCCAATAAAAAAAAATAAATCTTTAAAAAATGAGGGGGGTGTTAATCCTCTGCCCTGTGGCTTTGGCATCCCTTATGAACACTGGTTCATGTCCTGGTGCTCCACTTCTGACCTAGCCCTCTGCTTCCAGCCAGGGAATGTAGTAGACGATAGCCCAAGTCCTAGAGAGCCTGCACCCACGGGAGACTCGAAGGAAGCTCCTGGCTCCCAGCTTCAGACTGGCTCAGCTCTAGCCATTGTAGTCATTTGAGGAACGAACCAAGGATGGAAGACCTTTCTGTCTACCTCCCCTTCTCTTTGTAAAATCTGCCTTTGAAAAAAAAAAATCAAAGGGTGGCATCCTAAGAACTCTTAAGTCCCCAGAATGTTGAGAACTGCAAACTGAAGAGATTGGGAAGGGGAGTCCAGTCAGGGTGACCTGTAGGATTATCCTTGCCCCTACCACTTGCGGGGGGGGGGAGGGGCGCGGGCCTGACCAGGCAAGATTAAGGATAAGGTACAGGAAGAGAGTCTAAAGAAGGCTACAGAGGCCACACTTCTGTGTCCAGCTCCTGACTGACCACCTCTCCGATCCCCACGCACCTCCGCCACCTCTCTGTTATGTTCAGAACAGAGCCAAGACTAGGATACCTTACAGCATCCAGAATACTTTTATTGCCAGAATCAAGGTAAAGCATACTTAGAGAGGGAGAGACAGATGCTGGGCATGTAGGGATCAGGGAGAATCCAGCCTCAAAGACATCTTGTGGGAAAATGGCACAGTCCCCAAAGATGGCTTTGGGGCCCTGACTTGGGGCCTGGACCCAAATCCTGGCCAGCTGCCCGGCAGAAGCCCACAGCCACCAAGGCAGGGCTACAATCTCCACATAAAGAACCGTGCAGGTTCCCTGGAGCTAACAGGAGACCTCCAGGGGGTGTCACAGCACCTGATCTTTCAAGTAACCCACTATAGTTTCTGGGCTGGTCCCTACATACTAAATACCACTCTACCACTTGTGGGAGCAGGTGCTTCACCACCCCCTCAGCCCTGTGCCAGCTCTACTGGATGCCAGAGAAATCCTGGCCAGGGCTGCAATGTGGTGGTGGGGTTGGCAAGAGAGCAGCTCTTGGCAGTTTCCTTGCACTCCCTTTCTTCATCAGTACCTAAAAGCCATGGCACTTGGCCTGACACTCCTTCAATCACACTACCAGGTGAAGGGTGCCAGCTTCCATACCATGGTCAACACCTCAGCCCAGGCTCAGCGTTCCCAGGACATAGCCCCCGGATGCAGGAGAGCCATCTGCTGCCCAAGGCACAGCTAATCCGCTCTTCAGTGTCAGGGAGGTAGGAGTAGAACGATTGCCCCGGCCCCAGGAACCCTGGAAAACACAAACCAGCCCTGCCTGCAGGGGGCTCCATGCTGTCCTGGCCACAGGGAAGCCAGCAGCTCTGGCCACCCATGACTGGTGACAGACCAACCTGTGGCCATTACATGGGAGGGATCACCTAAGGGGCCAGGGACCATAAACAGCTCTGTATCATCTCTCACAGGAAGGCATAGGGGCCTGGGCCTGATGGCCAAGTGTGAAAAGGCCACAGGAGTAGGAGCAATGCATGGCCCTGCAGACTGGGGCCCTGCAGCTGCCAGCCAGTCCACCCCACAGGGCCAATCCTGAGGTCACGATTCCATCAGCAGCATTCTTCCCATCCATGGTTCCTTGAATTTACACTTATTTCTTCTTTTTCACTCCCACAGAAGAACAACAAGAAACAGCACTTCCCCAGTGTGGATGCTTCAAGGCCTGAGACACACACAGCCTTTCAATGACTGGTCACAGACTTTGGGCAGGACAGCCCTGGAGGCCAAGGACAGGCCTCGTGGCCAAGTCTTCTAAGCACATCCTGCCCGAATGTTGCAATCAAGGCCCGAGGAGAACTCGTTTCAGGTAGGCCAAGGTCGTAGCATTGGCCAGCATCTCAATGTGCTCACAGCCTGGCAGCTCCTGTAATGACACTGGGTACTCCTGGCGGCCTTGCCAAGCCTGGCACTGTAGGGCACTCTCCAAGTTCACAGTGCCATCGCCGTCACCAAAGCAGATCTTGGGGTCATGGTCAGGGAATGCCTCATAGTAGAAGGATTCTGGCGTGGGCACCCCAGTGCCATAGAGGCAGTGCAGTGGCACGCCAGGGGGCGTCATGGCCACCAGCCCTTCTGTGTCCTGCCGCATGAGCCAGCCATCTTCAAAGTCAATATCCCAGAAGAACCGACGGTAGTCCCGCAGCGTGTAGTTGGCTGCAGGTGTGTGCACAAACACCTTTTCTGGGGACCAGGTGTAGTTATAGGGGAGTAGCCAGCTGGTAGAGACGGCAGATCGCTGCTGCTCCCGGATCTTCAGGGGCTTAATGACAGGGATCCGGTTGTTGTCACCTGCAAGGGGAGAGCTCCAATGAGACTGCTTAGTGGTGCCAGGTGGCCTTGTCACTAGGCAGGCTGTCAGACCCTGGGCTAGAGGTCCAGCCAACGTTTACTTGTTCCTGCTCTGCCACTGTAACTCCCATCCCTGCCCTGGCTTCGGTGGCTTTGTCTTATTTTGTCAGTGTCTAGAAACCACATTTGCAAACCTGGTGTCGTTCCCTTTGCCATTTCCTCTCAAGGGATTTTAGGTCACACATACCCTGGGGTGATTTATCCCATTTCCTTCCCTGGAGTACTTAACCGGGTATGTGTGGGCGCTGGCTTTGCTTCCCTAAGCTGACTAATTAGGGTTGGTAGCCCCGAGACCCGTTCCTCTTTCTCTTATACCATGTTGAACTATGCCTGTTTTTCTCTTCCTAGGGTCAGATGGGTCATCAGCCAACCCTGGCATTTTTCCAGCCACCTGCCTCTGGACAGCAAGGCCAGCTGGAGACAGGGCAAGAAGGAAGGCTGCTGGTGGATGCAGGGTCCTTCTATTCCATAGATGTACCCGCCAGTCAGTGAGATTGCAGGGACCTGGGCTAGAATGTTGGGACAGTGGCCCCTGAACACATTCAGGGCCAAAACTCTGCAACTGAAGGGGTCATCCCACCTTGGCGCCAGAGAAAGCAGACTACCATTTCCTATTTATGAATTGCATCTCCTTCTGTGAGCACAGGGAGCCTCCATGGGCAGGGAGGAAGAGGGTGCGGTTCTGGCTGGGCCTGCCTTCACTCCCTTCCTGATTTTTCAAGGACTAAGGGAGGGAGGCCAGAAGCCTGTGGATGCCCACCTCTCCACAGCACACCCCTCCTCCTGGGCTGCCAGGGCTCCTGCTACAGCTTCTTTCCTTTGAAAGGGGACGGGGTCCAAATGCCACCATGCCTCCCTGTATCTGTCTCTCTGAGTTAGAGGCTGGACTGGCACAGAGGGCGCGGAGGAGTTCTTACTATATTCTGAAGGTCTGAGCCATGGACCCGTTGTCCAGTCAGCTCACAGTCACTTCTGGGAGGTTCAGCATCACTACTGATGATAATGGTCAGTTAGTCAAGCAGGTCAGGCAGTGCCACTGACTTTTGGATAAAAACTTCTGAAATACTTGACACAGCTCCTGAACAAGGAGTCCCAGGACTCCAGCCAGTTCTAGCAGAGGAAAGTATACTTCCTCCTAGCTCTAGAAGTGCCGCTGTCTGGCCACAGCTGGCAGATGTTGAAAATCAGTGAAAGGCAAGTGGATTGGTAAGGGAAGGGGAAAAGGGTGACTTTCCCAACTGGCTGGTGAGCAAACCCAGACAGAACAGCATCCACTTCCCCCCTGTGCTGCCCACAGAGGCTCCTGTGCCTGCAGACTGAGACGCAGTTCATAAATAGGAAATAGCCTACTTTCTCTAGACTAAGTGGGGGATGGAGAAATGAGGCTGAAGGTGAGAAGGAATGAGAAGGGGCCTCCAACGGACCCTGGGTAAAACCCAGTCAGGCCCGAGTCTTGGACTGTATATGTGGGTGTAACACACATGGAAGCATATACCTACATAAGCAAGTTTCTATGTACCAATGTTATGCCTATCCATGGATACGGCATAAGAAACTTACACCAATCACAGGGTCTATCAATTAGAGAGGAGAGACCAGGAGTAGTCTTAGATCCTTTTTCTAGAAAAATGGACATATGAAAAAGAATGGCAGGCCCTTGCTGAGGCACACTGGGTTAAGCTACCACTCATGATCACAACATCACACGTTAGAATGCCAGTTTAAAGTTTGGCTGCTTTGATTCCAGACAAGCTTCCTGCTAATGCATCTGAGAGGGGCACAGATGACCAAGTGCTTTGGTCCCTGCCATCTACACAGGACACTTGGATGGGAATCCTGGTTCCTGGCTTCAGCATGGCCTAGTCCTAGCTAACTATGGCCATTTGGGGAATGAACCAGAGATAGAAGATCTTCCATGTTTTCTCTCTCCCTGATGCTCTTTCTCTCAAATAAATCACTAAATCTTAAAAAAAAAAAAAGTCATTAGAGGAAAATAAATGCTGACCTAGGAAAAGAGGCGCGAAGGCTGCTGGCTCAGCAGTACATCACGGAAGCACCCAGAGACCAGTATTCCTGCTGTCCACCCCAACTCTGCCAAGTGGAGTCTTACCTGAAGCCAGGACGCGGAGGGTCTTGGCCACGCCCCCCCAGGGCGCACCCAGTGCCACAAAGGCACGGATATACTTGTCCTTCCAGGGCTGTGGCTGCCGCTGCAGAAAGTAGAGCGTGTACATGTTGCCCATGCTATGGGCAACCAGCACCACGGGGCCCCCATACAGCCGGTACATCTCCTCGATCATCTCCCGGAGGGCCAGGAAGTAGGGCCCGTTCTCATCTGCAGGCCAGAGCCAGGCAGGGGTCAGGTGAGAGGAGTCCTAGGGACTGAACCACTGACCACTCCACAGGTCAGACCCCAGACTGGCGGGTGGGGAAAGGGCTAGATTCCAAATGGGCACAATTAGGTCCTCCCTGCCCTCCCCCCAGCTTCCATAAAGGGAGCAAACAAAGGCTCCTTTAGTTGCCACCCTGCACCCCCTCCTATCCCCAGGGCTCAGAGGTCTTGGAGCAAAGGATAGAGAAGGACAAGGCAACCCCATCAGGAACGATGGCTATTGCTGTGACTGTGATGGAGCTGGGACATCCCAGAACTCCAGGAACAGCATAGAGCCCAAGGCCAGTGGTAGCTCTGACTGCCTCATCCCTGCTTCCCCAGAACCCCAGAGAATGAACAAGGGTGGGTGCTTACTTGGGGCTCGACGCCAGTCATAGGGGGCCCCTCGGACATCTTCACCCTGTGTGTATCCCCAGCCCACAAGGGTCTCCACCATGGTGTGGAAATAGGAGCCTGTAAACAGAAAAAAGAGTATTGGAGAAAGTTATAGTCAGGGCCTGCCACCCATCCCACCCTGCCATGCTGACTGTGCTATCCACTGGAACAACACACCTGGAGGATGGCTACAGAGACGACTCACAGGACACCCTTTCAAACTCTGTGAGTCGAGCAGAGCCCCAGCTCTACATACCCACACTGCTTTTGCTGGGATCCAAGAACTCCAACGAGAAGGTCTTCCCAAAGCCAGGGACACGCACGTCCACGCCATCAGGAAACTGGGTGGTCCGGGATGTTCTGTTGTAAATCAGCCTATCAAGAGGGGACACTGAGCCAGTTAACTTGAAGGTGACACTGAGCTTGATATCCTCAACATTACCCTGTGTCCTAAGCCTCCTCATCTCCAGGTTTGGTCAGAGGCACAAGGGAGAAGAAAGTAACAAGGCAAGTGTACAACGGACGAATCAGTGACCTAAAGGACTTCCACCAAAGCTCACTCCCAGTCAAGGTAATAATTATTTCTCCTTAGTGTTGGCTACCCCAGAGTGAGTGTTTCAAACTGGTGAAGAGAAGGAAGTGTTAGTCCTGGCTCTGCCATGAACCTCACATTTGACCCTAGGTTCCAGCATATCCTTGTGGTCTCCCATAGCTTCATATGCATCGATCTAGCCCCTGCAACCACCTCAACACCTTATAGGGCAGAGAAGATGATAAGGACTCCACCTCTGGGCCTGAGCATCCTGTGGCTGCTGTATGGACAGGCAGACACGAAGGTGGATAAGGCTAGACAAAGATGGGGACAGGTGAGGCGAGACAGGAGAAAGGCCTTGTTGTGATTGCAGGCAGGGACAGCTGAGTCTTACACTGAGAATTGGACCCAGCAACCAGACTCCCTCCAACCATACAGTCGTGGAAGGATGTGAATGAACCATGTCCACATGACTTGTCCTGTATCATACCCCACAGCCACATCACCTATCAAGACAGGGACCACACACCCAGAATGGGCTGGCAAGTTCCTATATGCTGTGACATACAGGCCACCAAGTATTTGGGATCATGACCAGCCCTTGCTAAGTGTGCTGTGGCTGTGTAATAAATTACCATAGACCTAGCAGCTTCAAACACCATACCTATTATTTCACAGTTTTTGTAGTTGCAGTGTAAAACAGAACCCTACCTGAGAGACCCCTGCCTAAGGTCAAGCACAGGGCTGCTGGATCCTGTCTCTAGGGAAATGGGTCTCCAGGGGCCACAGAAGTGCAGGGATGGGGAAGGGGGAGACAGAACAGAAGTCTTGTGCCAAAGCTAAGACCACGACACTGATCTCAACGGACACCAAAGAAGCAAATGTGTTCCCTAGAAACCAGGAGCCTAACGCTCCCGGTGACCTGGATCTCTAGGACCTTCACAAGTCACAGGCAGCTGACAGGATCCCCAACATTGACTTCAATAACAGTTTTTGGGGATCATTCCCTCCAGGACCAACTACAGACTCTCCCAGCAGCCACCCAATAAAATGCAGAAAATCATTCCAGAAAGCCAAAGCAGTTCTATGCTGCATGCCATACGCAAGTACAAAGAGAACAAGACACCTCCAACTGCCAGCACACAAGGCCATGTCTCCAGGACAAAAATAGGAATAGAAATCAACGACCTAGAAATAACCCCAATCCACACAGAGGGGACGCATAGGCCACCAGGAAGGGCAGGGTGCCTAGAAAAGCAGGTCTCTGGGAAAAACTCAGGATTTATGAAACTCCTTCCACTCAAGTAGACATTAAGCCCAACTTTGTTCCTCACTGTATTTATATGAAAACCAAAAGACAACAGTTCCTGTTTTTAGGGAACTTAGTTTGGAAGTAGACCTCAACCCTGAGTCACACAGTTCCGGGTTAGAATTCTGGTTTTGCAGTTCATTTTTCAGCTGAATCAGCACAAGCAATTTTATCATTTCTTTGAGCTTCCAGATTTGCTCTCCTGTGTCACCTAAAAAAAAAGTTTAAAAATGGGGCCTGTTTCACAGAGTTGCTTTTAAGACTGAATGATAGTGGGCACAGCGCTACATCACTGGAACGACAGGGCTGTGTTCTGAGCAATGCATCTTTAGGTGGTTTCGTTGCTCTGTCAGAGTCTGCTTACACAAACCTAGAAGGGCAGGTCAATTACTGCACATGACCTCTGGAGGCCATCAAGAGACTTGGTGAATTCAAGATGTACAAACTCATACAGAATACAGCCTGCTGTTCTGCATTTAGTAAAAGGACACTCTAGAACAATTATAAGTAAATACATATGCCAGTGATAATGTCACTTACTACCAAGCATTATACACTGTATATAATTGCACTGCTATATTTTTAGAAAACTAGCGGCACAGCAGGCTCACTTACACTAAAGTCACCACACACAGAGAAGTAATGAGTTACACTGATGATGTTATGACAGCTATAACATCACAAGAAAAGAGCTATAAGATCTTACGGAACCAACTGCTAACTGCTACGTCACCATCTCACAACATGGCATGTAACTGTATCTAGAATTGATAGTCTCTATATTCAACTGGGGAAAATATCCATGGAAACATGGTTTGACACTGGAGAGGAAACATGATGTGAGTTCAGAGCAACAGGGAGTGGCAGGAGATAGTCACAAAGGAAGTAAGATCAGGTTTCAAAGGGCAAATGGGGGAATGAAGACAACAAGTAAATACAGCATCAGACAAGGGGAACAGAAGTAGATTCCATCGGAAAGAAGCACGTGTGAAGGCATGGCCTGCCCTAGGAGGAACACGTGGCTGGATGGTCAGATGTGGCCAAGCCACAGCAAAGAAAAGATGAAGGTCAAGTGTAGGGTATAGATGGGGCCTGAGGGGCAAGGGCTGAACTGGAGAAGGGAGGGACACAAGCAGCAGGAAGGTTCTGCCTGGGAGAGTACAGAGGCAGTGCTGGCCAGGTCAGCCCAGAGCACACTGCGTGGAGGGCCACAGGTCCCCGGAAGAGAAATGGATCACAGACCCATGTCTTGAAGTGGGGCTGTGATGGCCTCTGTGGAGACCCCTCCAGTGCACAGTGCACCCACCTGATATTGTCGATCCAGCAGTCAATGACGACGGGGAACAGCAGTTCCAGGTTCAGCCAGAGTGTGAAGTAGCTGTCTGTCTTCTTGGAGCAGACGTAATGCACAACCTTTGGCTTGTCCAGCTTTGCCTCCAGCTGGTTGCCCAAATCACCAGGCACTGTGAGGGCGTACAAGACACATGTGAGTCTTGGGCCTGTCAGGAAACCTTACAGTTCACGACTGACCCTGCCCAAGAGCCAGTAATACCCTGGGTAGACCTCCACAGTTCTACACCTCAAATCAAAACACAGTGCCGGGGCAGGAAGACCAAAAAGCGGGGACCCCAACAAAGGGGCCTGGACACTATTTCTACACAGAAAAACTACTACAGTGACATGGTACATGGTAGTGCAAGAGAAGCCTGTAAGAGGCTTGGGAGAGGCCTGGCATATTTGCGGGGAAGCCCCATTACTCTTCCGGACTGCCTTGTGTCTTCCCTAGTGAACCCCTTGTTGTCTTCAACAAGAACATTTTCCCAGGACTGGGTTTCAATTTGAAGTGACTTCCTCATGGTAGGCTCCATTTCCTTATCTGTGAAACGAGATCTTGGGAGCTAGCTGAAGGTTAAGCCTCTGCATGCAATACTGGCATCCTGTAGGAACACAAATTTGAATCCCAATGCTCCACTTTCATCCAACGACCTGGTAAAAACACCTGGGAAAGCAGTAGAGAAAGGTTTAAGTGCTTGGGTCTCTTTATTTTCATTGAAAAGTCAGATATACAGAGAGGAAGATCTCCTTCCAGTGATTCACTACCAAGTGGCTGCAATGGCCAGAGCTGAGCCAATCCAAAGCCAGGAACCAGGAGTTCCTTCCAGGTGTCTGTTGTGGGTGCAAGGTCCCAAGGCTTTGGTTCATCCTTGACTGCTTTCCCAGGCCACAAGCAGGGAACTGGATGGGAAGTGGGGCTGCTGGGATTAGAACCAATGCCTATATGGGATCCCAGCACGTTCAAGGTGAGGACTTCAGCTGCTGGGCCTCCATGCCAGACCCCATGACATTTTTTTTAAGATTGATTATTTTATTCATTGGAAATGCAGAATTACAGAGAAAAGAGAGGCAGATAATTTTTCATCTGGTAGTTTACTCCCCACATGGCTGTAATGGCTGGGGCTAATCCAGGCTGAAGCTAGGAGCCCACAGCTTCTTCCCAGTCTCTCACATGGGTTCAGAGACCCAAGCATGGGCCTGGCACGGTAGCTGGCTGAAGTCCTTGCTTTGCATGTGCCAGGATCCCATTTGGGCACTGGTTTGTGTTCTGGTGGCCTTACTTCACATCCAACTCCCTGCGTGTGGCCTGGGAAAAAGCAGTCAAGGGCAGCCCAAACTCTTGGGACCCTACAGCCGCGTGGGAGGCCTGGAAGAGGCTCCTGGCTTCAGATTTGCTTGACCGCTTGGAGAGTGAATCAATGGATGAAAAATATTCCTCTCTCCTCCTCTCTGTATATTTCTGACTTTTCAATAAAAATAAATAAATCTTTAAAAAAAGGGGGGCTCTGACTTGGAGACCCCTCCGAATTCCAGAACACCCAAAGTTTGGCCAAGGCTACTATAGGCCTGTCATTAGATACGTACTCTTGAGGTTTGAACCCAAAGATTTTCCACTTACAGCCATCGCAGGCACCTTGATCATGCCGAGAGAAAGAAGGAAGAGCCAGCAGAACAGAACACTGAGCCACTGAACCAAGCCAAAACTGAATGCAGAGAAAGTAATGTGGACTTGCAGGAGGGAGATCATGGACAGAAACAAAGTGAGAGAAGCTCAGACTGGTACCTGCCAGGTTTCTGAGGTCCCACAGTGAGCATGTGTTGGAGACAGGCTGAATCAGCATACCATTCCAACCACAGCCCGGCAAGGCTTCATGTGACCAGGTCCCAAGTATGACTTCTCTCCCCGCCAGCAAGCCTGTTCTGGTCACACAGAACCCTGGGGTTCTTGCAACACCCTAGCCCATCTGCATTGCTTCACTGTGCAGCACTCAGAGCCTCACACATGCCAGCATTGTGGCACAGTGGGTTAAGGGTATGCCATTGCCTGCAACATCATGATGCTCTATTAGGGGGTACCAGCTGCTCTGGTTACAATCCTGCTTCCTGTTAATGTGTGTAGCAAGGCAGAGTTAAGATGACCCATGCCACCCCTGTACAACATAAGGATACAGTTTCTGGCTCCCCAATTCATCCAGGCCCAGCTTTGACTATTGTAGCAGATTGGTGAGTGAAGCAGTGAGTGGAAGACCTTTTTCTCTTTCTGATGCTCTACCTTCTAAACAATAAACAAATGCTTAAAAAGTCCTTCACACTCCATTTACTCTCACTGAACTTTCAAGTCTCACCTGCTCCCATATGTCATGTCCCTGGTACCTCCCAAACACAGCCCCATCCAGGCCAAACGACCCATGCATGAGCAAACAACCAGTGCGTGGGAGCCCAGCCCTCCGAAGGTGGGTTCTCCAAGGCGCTCCCACGGTGTCTTCAGGGTGCATGGGAGACAGATTCACCTTCACCACCTTTCATGATGTGGGTGTGGAAGCCAAGAGCCCCCAGCATTCCCCGCTTGGATGCTAATGCCTGGGGACTGGGCAGGGCACTGCGGAGACCTGTACCACTATCTCCACCAAAGAGGAAATGGTTGAAAGAAGTCAGCAGGTCTGCTTTGTCCAGACAACCCTTGCCCTGCTCAGGCATGTGACCTCTAAAAATAGCAGGGATCACTTCCTAAACTCCTAGGTGCTTGGAACTAAGACAGGGGCCATCCACGTATCTCTCACGCCCACCTAACAGATGAGAAAACTAAGACCAGGAGAGGTAGGGATGGCTTGCCTACAGTCGTCTCCCATGGCCAGGCTCATTTTTCTGACCTCTGCTTCTTGTACCACTCAAGTCCTACCTTAGGAGAATGCTGACCCCCTCCCGGACAGTCATGATCAGCTCCTGCCCTGGGCCCAGATGCGGCTCATCCTGAGTCAACAGCAGCAGCCTCACTCCCTAAGAAGCAGCAAAAAAAGGATTCTGGCTGCTCTGCGACTTTGCTTGGAGCCCAATACTCCTCTGCTATGAGTTAGGTTCACTAAGGACTGGGAGCAGTCAACACCAGGCCAGGCAAAAAAAAAAAAAAAAAAAAAAGCTACACACTCTGGCTGCAGACCACAAACTTCCCAAAGCCACATACTTCACACCGCTTATATTCAGCACTTCTACGACCCACACATGTGGCCCCTAGGGTGAAGTCCAGATGATCCAACCAGTCTCCTACCCCCACTCCATTTTAGCCACCCTGGGCTGCACACTTGCCTCCTTCTGCCACGCTGCTGGTTCCTCTGCCTAGAACCCTCTCTGATCCTAGTTCCAGTTGCCTTCCCTGACACCCAGCCAGCCAGCCTGGGGCAGAGAATTCTGTACTTGCCCAGTGCAGATACATCTCTGCAACGGAGCCCAACACCCACCTGCAGCATTGCCTGGTGAGGCCTCCTGGGACCACCCTGCCTGCCAGCCTTACTCCATTAACATATTCAAAGCAGAAACAGCACTCACAGTGGGCAGGGAGGGGTCAAGGTGTAAATGGATGCCTCAGGTTGCTGGCTACAAACACTCCAGCTGCAGATGGAATCCATGGCCTGAATGAGCCATCCGGGCCTCCCAGAGGGGTCATCCTGGCCCATTGAGAGAAACCACTGTGGCTCCTGTAGAGTTACCAAGTCTAGGATTCAGCAGGCAGCGGGTCGGGGAGGTTACTCAGTCCACACTAAGTGTCCCACTTAGTGTCCCAATCCAATTAAGTCTGGCAGGGATCAGAGTACAGGTCTATTGTCCAACATCTGTTTACCACCACTGTCCCAAATGCTGGCCCTGTTTTCTCTTAGTTTCTCAGACTTGCAGGCGCAAGCCAGTGCCACCCATTTAACAGGAGAGTGAAAGCGGGGGCTTGGTGGGCAGCGTAATTTGCCCCCTGCTCCCCCAGAGTTGCCTTCCAGTAACACACTACAACACATGGAAGGTTTCAGGTGGCTGGAAAGAGGAAAGGTGATGGCCTCCAGGCTGCCTAGGGACTACAGGGGCCAACTCTGAGGTCGCCCCTCACAAGCAGGGAGCTGGATGGCTCAACGCCTCTGTAATATGGGCACAGGAGTTTCAGGCTTTCCCAACCCCAAAACCGAGATATGGAAGGCTTCGTCAGGCCTGGTATAGAGATGGACAGGCAGAGCAATGGCCGCCAAGCCTCCCACCGGCTCCCATCTGGCAAGGCCAGAGGCGGACTCACTGACCCAGGTGAAAAGACACCAGGACGCTTCCCATTTCCTGACGAGGTCAGCCTTGCCTGCACCCCGCCCTGCCAATTACACCCATCACCAAACACTTGGCTCACCCAGCACCACCGGGGGATGGCTTTGAGCTGGGTCCGACAGCAGCATCAACAGGGCCAGGAGGACACTCGGGAGCAGCGTCGCGCGCCGGGGAACGATGTGGAGGGCCATAGCGCGCGGCCGCGGCTGCAGGTGGGCGCTGCGGGATCAGCACTCAGGGCTGGCGCCTAGGCCCCAGCAGCGGCGACGTGCTTAACCCCGCCGCCCGGAGCCTCCCCCGGGCACCTGGCCAATCAGAGCCCGCCCCCCGTAAACGGCCCACAAATGGGGACTCGCCGCCCTGCCCAGGGCGCGCTCCGCTCCGCCCCCGCCCAGCCCCCCGCCATTCAGCTGGACAGCGCTGCGCGCCGAGCGCATCGATCCATCCAGGCGCAGCACCATCTGTGGCTCCTTGGCTGCTGCGCGCCCCGCCTAACATTCACCTCCAGCTCCTGGAACCTCCCAAACCTGCAGGATCTAGAATGGATCCGACGGGAGACGCTAAGGGGTCCATGCTCGCCCATGCGGAGCGACCCCTGGAAAAACCAGGAAGTAAGGAAGTGACAACCCCGCTCCCCACCCCAGGCTTCCGGGACCTTTTTAGGACCTTCATACCAGTTCTTGCCATTCTACCCACGAAGAACCTGGGTTCCATCATCCCGGCCCAGTAACTTCCTTCCCAGTCCCCTCCACCTGCCGTGTGCCCCTGCGTTAGGGTGCTGGCAAAGCTGGGAGAGGCCAGGTCGGTGTTGTTCCCTAGGGCGAGAGCTCTGTCCGTTGATTTTGGAAATGTGGAGGAAAGCTGTCACTCTGCCCTTTGGGGCATTTGGACGCGGGTGTTGGGAGTGGGCTCGAGCCCCCAGCTTGCACTAAGCCCCCAGCTTGCACTACGGTCCATCTGCAAGTTCCCATGCCGGCTGGGAGAGGCATCAAGAGGGCTTATGTGTCTCCTGCCTCCCACCCCCACCATAATCCTAGCAAACCTGGGGGTCTACAGAGGACAGACTCCCCACAGCAGGAACTGGCACTAACAGTGAGGCCACAATAGACCAGCACCACTCATCATCCTGAGGTGGAAGGGCCAGTGTCTGCAGAGTTCTTCATCTTCCACGCAACCCCTGCCCATAACTCCCTCCTAACCCTTCCTTCTTCTTGGAAATGGACTGGGCCCCCTTCATCCAGCTGCCCACCCTCTTGGCCCAATCCTCCTGAATTCTCACAGGAAAACATGTTGGCAATTAGCAATTGACAGACTCTCCAGTATTTTTTTTTTTAAGATTTATTTATTTTTTTGTGCCCAGTGCAGTAGACTACCAGCTAAAGTGCAATGATCAGACATAAGATCTTTCTCTCTGTCTCTCTTCCTCTGTATATCTGACTTCCCAATAAGAATAAAATAACACTTAAAAAATCTTAAAAGATTTATTTTTATTGGAAAGTAAGATTTACAGAGGGAAGGAGAGACAAAGATCTTCTATCCACTGACTGACTCCCCAGATGGCCACCATGGCCAGAGCTTAGCTGATCCAAAGCCAGGAACCAGCAGCTTCATCCAGGTCTCCAACACGGGTGCAGGATCCCCAAGCTTGGGCCAACCTCGACTGCTTTCCCAGGCCTCAAGCAGGGAGCTGGATGGGAAGTAGAGCAGCTGGCACCCATATGGGATTCTGGCGCATGCAAGGTAAGAACTTTCAACCGTAGGCTACCATGCTAGGCCCAGACCCTTCCAAACCAGAACTGTCTTTTATCTTAGGCCCTGGTTCAGGGGTCCCACTTCCTTGAACCCTACTTCCCCTACCTTCATCCCTGGCCCCAGCAGGCAGTTACTGAAGATCCATCTGGCAAAGGCCAGTGCTACAGACAGGCAGAAGCCGAGAGCCAGGGGTCACGAGGGATGAGGTTGGGCTTGGGCTGCCTTGTACCCTGGCCAGTCTGAGTTCAGCAGCATTAGGTGACCAAGGGCCTCTGGGAAAGTGGCCCTGTCTTCATTAGTGGTTTGGGGGCCCTCTACCCCTAAACTCTGCAGATATTATGAACCATGGTCATTAGGGGAGGAATGGCAGGACCTGGTAATCAAAGATCTTTTTGACAGGGTGAGTACTACTATGGTGCCATTTGATAAGCTGCTGCCTGATATAGGCACCAGTTCAAGTACTGGCTGCTCTACTTCCCACCCAGCTCCTTGCGTATGTCCCTGGGAAAGCAGTAGAAGAAGGCCCAAGTACTTGAGTGCCTATCACCACATGGGAGATCCAGGAGAGGCTCCTAGTTCCTGGCTTTAGCCTGGCTATTGTGGCAATTTAGAAACTGAACCAGTGTAGGGAAGGTTGTGTTTCTTCATTTCTTTGTATAATTCCACCTTTCAAATAAATACATCTTAAAAACATCCTGCTGGGGGGTAGCATAGCAAGTAAAGCCTCATCCTGCAGTACCAACATCCCATATGCATGGTGGTTCAAGTCCTAGCTGCACCACTTCTCATCCAGCTTCCTGACGTACCTAGGAAAGCAGAGGATGGCCCAAACCCTTCTGTCCCTACACCTACATGGGAGACCCAGAGGAAGCTCCTGGCTCCTGGCTTCAGACTGGCCCAGCCTTGGCTTTGGTGGCCATTTAGGGAGAGAACCAGTATACACAAGATCTTGTATACACTGGGTTAGGAATAAGTGGATGTAATCTCTGTTTCCAAATTTTCTATTTCTTTTCCTGTTTCTGGGGTAAGGAGGGGGAGAGAAGGGGAGAAGCTGCACACAGCCTTCCAACCGTCCCAGTACCCGGGGATGGAGAATGGCTGCCTGATACCAACCCAGGTTCCCAATGTGGCTCATGCTCCAAGGGTTCTGCCCTAGTGGTTTCGATAGTCCTGAAATGCTGTCAATCTTGCCAATCCAAGGAGGAAGAAATCCTTCCAGGGTCCATTGGCTGACAGTCCACCTTATAGTCTCCATTTACCAGATATTTGCTGTCAATGCTTGGCCGGGATAGTTGTCCAATCTCTTCTGTCTTCCTTGCTCTGCTATGGTACCAGGTGTCCTCAGCAGGCCCCAGTGGGCTGCCATATCCTCCATGTGCATCTGGACATGCTGTCCACTGCTCTGTCTTTTCCACTGAGGAAGCCCAGTTCTGATCCATGTACTTCACGGCCAGACCGCCAATCCTGGACATGAAACCTCAGGCCCCGAATCCTCCTACCTGTGCCATCCCCAGACCTCTGCAAGTACACAAACCAAGTCCCCACAAGCATGCCCCAGAGACCAGTGAACTTCTTTCAGCGCCATTGGTGCCCTGGGCCACCCAACCCAGGCCCTGGTGGACCCCTGCACCATGAACCCAGCACTCACCATTCAGGTGGGCCCAAGGACCTGAATCAGGTGACCCGGGCCCTACCCGACACCCCATCTCCTCTCCAGTCTTAATAGTTTCCTTGCTGTCTAGATTACACCTCTTTTGGGGCTGGCATAATGGCCTATTAGACTAATCTTCCACCTGTGGTGCCATATGGCACTAGCTGCTCCGCTTGCCATCCAGCTCCCTGCTTGTGACCTGAGAAAACAGTTGAGGATGGCTCAATGCCTTGGGACCCTGCACCTGCTTGGGAGACCTGGAAGAAGCTCCTGGCTGTACCTCCTGATTGGCTCAGCTCCAGTCATTGTGGCCATGGGGAGTGAACCAGCAGATGGAAGATCTTTCTCTCTGTGTCTCCTCTCTGCATATCCGATCTGCCTTGTCAATAAAAATAAAAATAAGTCCAGCTAAAGGGCTGAGAGGTCAGTAGGGCTAGAAGACTAAAAAGAAGGAGGGTGTTACCATGGAGAGCTATTTCCTGAGCTAAGAAATAAGCCCAGTCACAGGAAGAATCCATACACAACATTTCCTCCCACTACCAAGCCCTTTGTACTCTCTCTCACCCACCCAAGCTCAAATCTCCCTTACCCGGAACAGCTATTCTGGGTCTGGGGGTGGGGTGGAGGCAAAGAAAGATTGCAAGTCCAGGGTCAGTTGCCCAAGCTTCCCCTGGAGTCATGAGAACCAAACATTGATCTGATTACAATGGCATCTGCAGGCAAAGAGCCCAGAACAGAACATTTAATCTGGCTTAAACATCCAAGATTGCTGCCTGAGGAAGAATCATCTGTAATGGAAATGAAGGATAAGTAGCAGTTTTCCAGGAAAACAGGGTGATGGCAGGTGAACAGGAGCTCCAGGCAGGGGAGCACAGCAAGTGCAGCACTACCCAGGGCAGCACAATAGCTCAACTGGCTAATCCTCAGCCTGCAAGCACTAGTATTCCATATGGACACTGGTTCGTGTCCTGGCTGCTCCACTTCTCATCCAGCTCCCTGCTTGCAGCCTGGGAAAGCAGTGGAGAATGGCCCAAAGCCTTGGGACCCTGCACCCATGTGGTAGACCCAGAAGAAGGTTCTGGCTTTGGATCAGCTCAGCTCTGACCATTGCAGCCACTTTTTAAAAATCTTTTTTATTTTAAAAGATTTGTTTATTTTTATTGGACAGTCAGATATACAGAGAGGAGAGACAGAGAGAGAAAGATCTTCCGTCTGATGATTCACTCCCCAAATGGCCACAATGGCCGGAGCTGAGCTGATCTGAAGCCAGGATCCAGGAGCTTCTTCTGGGTTTCCCATGTGGGTGCAGGGTCCCAAGGCTTTGGCCTGTCTTCAACTGCTTTCCCAGGCCACAAGCAGGGAGGTGGATGGGAAGTGGAGCAGTTGGGACATGAACCAGTACCCATATGTGATTCCAGTGCTTGGAAGTGGAGGTTTAGCTAATAGAGCCATCTCACCGGGTCCCTGGTTGTATTTTCAATAACCACTAGCCTTGTCTGGGTGACACTGTCTGGTATTGTACAGCGTTGTAAATTGGCAGGGAAATCTAAAGCAGAGTCTTGCTGTGCACAGCACAAATTAGTTCTATGCAAGGATGCAAGTTTTTTCATCTTCAGTTGTCCCTGATGCATTTTATGCAAAATCATTGTTCTGTTAAATGATACCACTTTATAATTGAAAAAAAGTTACAGCTGTTCAGTTGACATTCTGAATGTTTTTAAGTAAATACTATTTTTTTTAATTAAAAAAAAAAAAGAATCACTAGCAGGCATCCAAAACACAGAGTGGGGACATGGTAGATGAGAAAGGAACAGGATGATGAGACTGGGGCGCTTGAAACATGACACAATCAAGCTCTAAACGTGGCCTCTATTCAGGAAGCCCGGGACCACAGAAGATTCTAAAAAGGGAAGGAAGCTGCCTGGTGAGTGGTGGCGAAGGCAACCCTTTTCACTTTCTGCATCCAGCTCAGTTGCCTGCCAGCTCCTGCACGCTCCGGCCCTCACCATCTGGTTCAACAGCGTCGGTGCGCCCTCTAGTGGGCCTGGTGGCGCGGCAACCAGCGGCCGAGGTGGCCCTGGAGATCCGGATGGAGGATCTGGGTCTGGGCAAGGGTCCCCGCAGGTGCCTCCAGCGCCGAGTCCTCTTCCACCGCCGGATCTTTTCTGGCCAAGAAAGGGTGTGTGTGTGTGTGGGTGGGGGGCGCCTTTCACCATTCCTTTTCCCCAGAACTTTCCACCAGAGCCACCACACTCTTGGCCCCTCCCCAGCGCAGAGCTGAGGTTAGTGAAACTGTATGTGTGAGGCCCACGGGACCCCCTCCTTACCCCTTTGGAGCCTCACTCCCATTCATTCATTCACTCATTCATTCGTTCATGTGGGACTAATGAACCCCTAGAACCAGATGGACTCTCGGATGAGGAAAAACAGAAATTTCCCAACTTCAGAGTGGAGCCCTGCTACGACGCGAGGAGCTTCAGAGGTGAAAAGCATGAGGAAGAGCTGGTGTGATTAGAGCAGAAGCACAGAGGGAAGGGGAGGAAGCATAGCCCCTTCCCTTGCCCCCCTACTCCAACAGACCCCGGGACCCAAGGGAGGCTACCATCGCTGAAGAACCCGACGACAGAAGCTGTCCATTCAATGCGGGGGTGCACTAGTGTCCTCAAGTGAGGGGACCTTACATGACCACTAAGTCATGTTGCAAGTGGTGGCCTGTCGGGGGACGGGGTGAGAGTTTTGCAGCAATGGATGATGTGGGAGGCCCCACATGAAGGAGTGAGTGAACCAATCAGGGATTCCTATTATCTGAACGGATTTAGTTTTTCCAGAAGAGTCCGAATGTCAGAAACCGCCTTGCAATGGTGGACACTTGGGCACGCTGAGATTTGGGGAAACTGCCCTGGGTACCTGCTGCTGTCACCTGGTGGGGACCTGGACCTGCCTGAGCGCCTCTGCCGTGGGGATGCGCACTGGACCATCAGGGATGCCACAATGGCTGGGTCAGTTCTGAAGGAAAGTTTCCCGAAGGATCTGAGAAGGAGAGGGGACAAGGGCAGGCTCCGGATGGGGGCACCACGAGGGGAGAGAACCAGCCCACGGAGCGTCGGGATCGCTCGTGGTAGGCGTGGAGCCTCTGTCCTGAGGGAGAACAACCCCAGGTTTCAGCAACCTGAGGGTTACAGCTCCTGGGAGCTTTTGGGAGTTAGCATCCATAGGCGTGTTCAGTAGGGAGGTCCGACTCCTCCTGACGCAGGCGTGCTCAGGGGCGGGGTCTCACCTCATGGTTGCACCACGCCCCAGGAGCAAATATTTAACATTCCCGGCTTATAGGGGGGAGGGGCCTGGGGAGGGACCTTCTCTCCTCCCTCCCCTGCACGGCTGATTCGTTTAGTGCTTCCGGTGGGAGGGGGGCGTGGAGACAGCCTCGAGCGGACACCCCCGAGAGGAGCTGCCACCTGCCCATATCCCCAGGGTTGGCAGCCTGGAGTGTGCGTTTCTGTCCTTCCGTGTCTGTATCCCTGCACCTCTGCTGGCCCTCTCTGGTGGGAACGTGCTCCCTCCACCCCGGGGTCGCGCCCCCTCCTTCGTCCACAGGCCAGGATGGCTCCCGCATGGGGTCGTGGGCTCCGGATGGAATTAGAAGGTGCAGCCCCCACAGGCACACTTAACAGTCTACCAAGCATCAGGTCGTTAGAGCGACGAAAACAGACACCCCAACATGGAACGGCTCCACATTATCTAGTGAACTGGGTGGAAAGGGATCTTCCGTGTCTGACCCACAGTGACCCTTCTGTGACACCGCGGGCGCTTCCCGGAGAAGCCGGAATAAGGACCAGCCCGGGCACTTGCGTGAACAAGTCCTTCCCCTGGCATCTCTGCTGAATCCTACCCACAAAGAACCCGCGATGATCCACGCCGTTCTTGCCCTCCCAAGAACTTCTGGGGGTCTCCCCTTTCCCCCGGGCCTTCGGGTGGTACCCATCGTTTTCAACACCCTCATTGACAACTGGTGTCTTGCATCAACCCCACACCTGCCCTCGTGGTCCCCGTATGGCCCCTGTAACTCTCACGGACTGTAGAAGTGCTCTGGCTTTTGCATATTCCTTTGAAGCGGTCTCAAGGTTCCCTCCAGAAGCCCCACGGAGGAAGAAGCGGTTCGCTCCCAGAGCCAGGCAGGACCGCGGCGGGGAACGACAGCCGACATCCTGAGCGCGCGCCCGGCCCGCCCGGAGTGCGCATCCCGGGCCGAGCTGGTCCTCCTCCCTCCAGGTTCCCCGGCCCGCCCTGGCGTCACGTGGCCCGCAGGTAACTGGCCCCGGGAGGGCGGGTGCCGGTAGCCGGCCCGCCCTTGCCGGGCGCCGCGGGCGGGTCTCTGCAGCGCCCACTGCGTCGGCCGGGCCGCAGGTGCCTCCCCTAACACTCGGCGTCCCGCCCCAGCTCCTCCGCGTCGGCCGTCGGTCGGTGCGTGCGTGCGCCTCTTCGGTCCGCGTGTGTCTGTCTGGCCGAGCGCCCCCCCTGCCGCAGCGGCCATGCCTCCGCCGCCGCCTCCGCCGCCGCCGCCCCCAGGCCCAGATCCCACCGGAGACCCCGCTGCGGACCCGTGCTCCGGGCCCGGATCCTTGGTCGTCCTGTTCGGGGCCACAGCCGGTGCCCTGGGGCCGGACCTGGGCTCCGACGAGACCGACTTAATCCTTCTAGTCTGGCAAGTGGTGGAGCCGCGGAGCCGCCAGGTAGGGTGGACAGAAGTGGCGGGGGGTCGCCCGGGGAGCTTCCCGGTGCGGAGCGGGGGGCGCGGCGGCTGATCGGATTCCTCCGCCGCTCTCAGGTGGGGACGCTGCACAAGTCGCTGGTTCGCGCCGAGGGGGCCGCCCTGAGCCCGCAGTGCCGCGAGGCGAGCGGCCTGAGTGCCGACAGCCTGGCGCGGGCCGAGTCGCTGGACAAGGTGCTGCAGCAGGTGAGCGCGGGGCCGGACTGGGTGGCCGCACCGCCGGGACGAACCGGCGAGAGGCGGTGGCAGGCGAGGGGGGCGCCACGACCGACCGGCCCGGCTGCGGGACGGGGTCTCCTTTGAAACTTTGAACCAGTCCCGCGCGTGTCTGCGTGCGTGGGCCCTTCCCAGGGGCGTATTAACTTTTCAGGCTTCACGACGGTCAATTCCTACTCTGAGGAGTTGGGGCTGCAGACTTTGAGCTCCCCCTCCGACCTCCTACGCCGGGGTCTCCCATCGAGGAGGGAGCGAGAGGCTGAAGCGCCCCTGGGAACCTGCGGGGTCAGGTCTCCCGAAGCAGCAGCCGGAAGTGAAAGGGGCGAGAGGCCAGACCTGGCCACACAGGTCGCCCCGTCCCCGCCGCCGGCGTCCTCCACCCGCCCGCCGGCCTGGGAGCGGGGGTGTAGGGCGGTGTCTGCCCCAAAGGCAGACGCCGCCAGGTGTAAGCTGCTCGTCTAGGCCTGTCCCGGCCTACTGACTAGGCATGGGGTGCAGATCGGACCTCAGCTCGCGGGGAGCTACCTGCTCGCTGGGGTGAAGTGGGAATGGGTTCCCATTGCTGTCTGCTTTTACCCATCTTCCCCTCTGCGCACGCACTGTGCTGGACTCTGGGAGTCATGAGTTTTAAGCTCGCCCTTTCATCTTCCCACAAAGTCTGGTGGTGGTGCCTGGTGAGGGAACACAGGTGTTGAGTCTGACTGCCGCCCCTGGAACGCTCCCGGTGCAGCCCCTACTTGGGGAGTGTGTCAGGCAGCTGTTGGAGGGGTTGCCTCCCTCTGCCAGCCTCAGGTTGTAAAATGTCACTCAGAATTGGCAGGGGCGGGGGGTGGGGCTCCGTGATGGGTGTTTGTACCTGTTGTTCTCCAGCGGGAATGGAGGCTGGGGGAGGAGCTGGGCAGCCTCAGGAGTGCCACCCCCTCCAAGAGCAAACAGCCCAGTGCCAGCCGGTCGATAGGGTGTGGGTCAAAGCTCATGCTGCCCCTGGTGTCCAAGTATGGAGCTCTGTCCTTGGAGTTTGTCTAGCTCTCGTTGGCCAGACCCGGAGGCGGGGCTGCCATTGACCGTGAGCCTTCTGGCCCTCTGGCAGGCCTGGGCCTCCCCCACCTGTCTGAGGTGGTGCCTGATCAGAGACAGGTTTAACCTGCTTTGCCCCGCCCCTTCCCACCTGCTTGTCCCACTTCACCAGGTGTTTGCTCTGGCTTCACTCCAGACTGCAGGAGTGAGTGAGTGTGTGTCAGAGAGACAGGGAGAGAGATGGGGGTTTGAGTTGTGTTACTGCCCTCATCTGGCCTGGAGGAGATGACGGTGGACTGGGGCAGGGTTGGGGGCTGGGAGGTAAGGCTTGGCCCAGCAGGAGTGGCCTCCTCCCTCCCAGGCTGGGTGGGGCTGCACATCTGGCTGAACCAGCTTTGCAACCTGAAGCCTCCCTCCTCCTGCCACCTGTTCCTGCCTGCCCAGCTGTGAGTTTGTATCTGTTTCTCTTCCCATTCCCTGTCCCCAGTTCTCACAGCTGGTGAGTGGGGATGTGGCTCTGCTGGGCGGGGGCCCCTACGTCCTCTGTACTGATGGGCAGCAGCTGCTGCGACAGGTCATGCACCCCGAGGCCTCTAGAAAGGTATGTTATGGAGAGCGCCATGGGATGGGTTCTCAGATGCCTTTTGTTGTGGAGGTAGGCAAGGCACCTCAATTCCCCCAGTCATCCCCCACTCCCATGTGCCCCTAGAACCTGGAGCTCCCCGACACCTTCTTCTCCTTCTACGACCTCCGCAGAGAGTTCCACATGCAGCACCCGAGCACCTGCCCTGCCAGGGACCTCACAGTGGCCACCATGGCACAGGGTATCTGTGAGCCAGCAGGGTTAGGGTGGAGGGGTAGCTATGGGCTACATGATTCTCAGTGCATGTGTGTTGGTGGACAGGCTATGTGAACAAATGTTGAGTCTGCACACCTGCTGAGGTCTTGTGTGTACCCTTGTCTTTGTGTGTGCTTGGGATGTGTTTGCAATGCCTATGCTGGAGGGCCGTCTACTCTTATGAACTGGGCCAAAACACATGTTTTCTGGCATTTGTCTTTAGAGGGATTGGAACCCAGGTGTGGGAAGCATTAGTGTCCCCAGGGACTCTCATGCTGGGATTTGCTACTTCTCTGTCCACAGATTTGGGCCTTGAGACAGATGCCACTGAGGATGACTTTGGGGTCTGGGAAGTTAAGACCATGGTGGCTGTCATCCTTCACCTGCTTGACGGACCCAATGGTGAGGTTTCCCTCGGGCCTGTTACCACTCTCAGGGTTGGGTAGAAGGTGGTCACTACAAGGTCCTCCTTCCCACTTGTGGCCTGTAAGAGTCCACAGGCCACTTCATCCCTTCATCTGCTGTCTTCCCGCAGTGTTTGGTGGAGAGGGACCTCTCCTTTCCGCCAGACCCTGCTCACACCCATGTTATCTCTCAGGTCAATTATTTTCCAAGCCTGAGGTGATAAAGCAGAAATATGAGACGGGGCCTTGGTAAGTGTGGGACAGGGGTGATGGTGGGGGTGACAACAGATGGCCAGCTCTGACTTGTGCTTTGCCCCCACAGCAGCAAAGCTGATGTGGTGGACAGTGAGACTGTGGTTCGGGCCCGAGGGTTGCCTTGGCAGTCATCGGACCAGGACGTGGCTCGCTTCTTCAAAGGGCTAAATATTGCCAGGTGGGTGTGGAGGGTTGGGGTGGGGTGTGAGAGGGCTAGTCTACCCAGAAAGTACTAACAGCACTGGCTCCACAGGGGTGGTGTAGCCCTCTGCCTCAACGCCCAGGGTCGCAGAAATGGTGAGGCCCTCATCCGCTTTGTGGACAGCGAGCAGCGTGACCTGGCGCTGCAGAGACACAAGCACCACATGGGAGTCCGTTACATTGAGGTGAGGTTCTGGGCTGGAGTGCAGCAGGGCACAGGTGAGCCAAGCCTGAGACCCAAGGGTCCCTCTCTCCATACCCACAGGTATATAAAGCAACAGGGGAGGAGTTTGTAAAGATTGCAGGGGGTGAGTATCCAACCCCTACCCCTGCTCCAGCAGGGCTTCACTCCTCCACCACCCAATTCTTGACCTATTTCCTACCGTCCCCCTTGTCCCCACCCCTACCTCTGTTTCAATGTGTGTCTGGAAGAGCATGAATGAAGTCAACAGGTGACTCCCATGCCCTGAACCCAGGCACATCCCTAGAGGTGGCCCGCTTCCTGTCCCAGGAAGACCAAGTGATCCTGCGGCTGCGCGGACTGCCTTTTTCGGCTGGGCCAGCAGACGTGCTAAGCTTCTTGGGGCCAGAGTGCCCAGTGACTGGAGGTGCAGATGGACTGCTCTTTGTGCGCCACCCTGATGGTCGGCCAACTGGTGATGCGTTTGCACTCTTTGCCTGTGAGGAGCTGGCCCAGGCTGCCCTGCGCAGGCACAAGGGCATGCTGGGCAAGCGATACATTGAACTCTTCCGGAGCACTGCAGCTGAAGTGCAGCAGGTGAGCACCTGGGGCTCCCAAACCCACTTCCCAGGGTGCCCCGCCCCCCCTTGTGCTACTTCTGGATCTGGTTATGACCAGCCTGCTGCTGCTTTCTTCCCTAGGTCCTGAATCGCTATGCATCCAGCTCACTCTTGCCTACGCTGACGGCTCCACTGCTGCCCATCCCCTTCCCACTGGTGCCTGGGACTGGGAGGGACTGCATACGCCTCCGAGGCCTCCCCTACACTGCCACCATTGAAGACATTCTGAGCTTTTTGGGGGAGGCAGCAGCTGACATCCGGCCTCATGGAGTGCATATAGTGCTCAACCAGCAGGTAAGGCTGCCACCAGTAGGGGCACACACACACATGATTAGGAATGCATATGTGTTGGGGGTAAGGCACCCTTAAACCTGGCTGACTGCTTACCAGAACATGTGTGCAGGGCCGGCCATCAGGTGATGCCTTCATCCAGATGATATCAACTGAGCGGGCCCTGGCTGCTGCACAACGTAGCCATAAGAAGGTGATGAAGGAACGCTATGTGGAGGTGGTCCCCTGCTCCACAGAGGAGATGAGTCGTGTGCTGATGGGGGGTACCTTGGGCCGCAGTGGCATGTCCCCTCCACCCTGCAAGTTGCCCTGTGAGTGCCTCAAGGTTTGGGGAATCAGGAGGCAGGTGGGGGTGAGGCTGTTATAAACCCCCCACCTTCTGTGTTTGAAAGCAGGGCCTCCTTTTTTTGGTAGCTCTGCTCAGGGTGGTGCTGGCCTCCCTGTAGATGGTCTTTGCTTCTGTTTCCAGGCCTCTCTCCACCCACCTACGCTACCTTCCAGGCCACCCCAACTCTCATTCCCACAGAGACAGCTGCTCTTTATTCTTCGGCACTGCTCCCAGCTGCCAGGGTGCCTGCTGCCCCCACCCCTGTCGCCTACTACCCAGGGCCAGCCACTCAGCTCTACATGAACTACACAGCTTACTACCCCAGGTACCCTGCTTAGAGGCACTCCCTGCTCCCCGGTCTGCTTTGGAGGGAGGATTATGATGTCCTTTCTGGGGTATGTAACTTAAGGTCTGTTGGAGACTGGACTTTATTCTGAAATGGTAAAAGCTGAACAGGTGAAGAATGGCTGTCACCACAAAAAGAATCACAGAGGACCCTGTAGAAGCAGTTTTAGGGGAGGAGGAAAACCTAAGCACAAGGCAGAGGCAGGGGAGGAAGGAGGGAGGGAGGAAGGTCTTGGTCTAGGCTGCAGGTGGACTAAAACTCTCATCTTTACCATCCCATCCTAGCCCCCCTGTCTCTCCCACCACTGTGGGCTACCTTGCCACACCCCCTGCTGCCTTGGCCTCTGCTCCCACCTCAGTATTGTCCCAGCCAGGGGCCTTGGTCCGCATGCAGGGTGTCCCATACACAGCTGGCATGAAGGATCTGCTCAGTGTCTTCCAAACCTACCAGGTGAGGTGGCATGGTTAGTGGGCTTGTGGGCCTGGCTGCGCCTGGACTGCTGCCCTAAATCACCAGTGTGTCCCTTTTTGTAGCTCGCCCCTGATGACTACACCAGTCTGATGCCTGTTGCTGACCCATCTCGCACTGTGTTACAAGCCCCCAAGGAGTGGGTGTGTTTGTAGAAGCCGGTAGGTAAGCTGGCTGCTGCCAAGCTAACATGCCTTTCCTGCATCCAGAGGACCACCACTCTCAACCCAGTGGTTTCTTTCTGACTTGCCAAAATTTTCATCAAGTATCCAGGAGACCAAACCTAACTCCTCTTCCCACTATTTCCCTGCCTGCTCATCCCTGGTACCTTCAATTTGTGGCTCCTGAAAATGTCCATATGAGTCTCTCTTCTACCCCCATAACTGTGGTAGGGGGTGGGGAGGCAGAGCGAGTCTGGCCCTCAAGATACTTGAACCTCAGAGACCACGCTGGACCATGAGTGGCCCCACCTAAGGATGCTAGGTGGACACAAGCTATTTTGATGAACTGTGCTGCAGAATCCCTAAAGGACACTAGGGGGCAGGAGGCCCCTAAATGAAGACTCAGGCTTGAATTTCATAGGGAACATACTGCCAACTTTTCCTGCACACCCTGGGAAGGACAGTTACCCTAAACCCAGCAAGACATGATGGAATGTCCTTTGCACCCGTTAAAGGGTGTGGAACTGAAGCTGCGAGAAGAATTTGGGACTTCATGCTCTCCTCCATTAAAAAACAACTTCCCAACTAAGTGGACTTCTAAAAAGCTGCAGTGCTGTTGGCTTTACCCTCAGAGTGAAGGGCTCCACAACAGCTCCAGGCGGAGGAAAACAGATTCCAAGCAAGCTGTCAACCTGTCACCATTTATTATTTCAGCACTACAACTGAGGAGCCGGAACCGCTGGCTTTTTCCCTTTGTGTTTGTGCAAGGAGCGCTGCACTCATGTAAAAGGTTTGAAAATACAAAATGTACAAGAAAACACAATCCCAAGTGCTGTAAACATAACTGAGAACCATTTCTTTACTCAGCATCCATTTTTATAAAATGTTTCAACTTGAGCCCATCTGAGCCTTAAAGATGACCAACTATTCTGAATGTCAAAAACAGGGCTTCAAAGCCATGCCCAGCAAAAGTCTGATAGAAAGTTAGACCCTGGGCAACAGCACCACATGTGAACCTGAAGACGCCTGTTTCTTTTACAGTTGTTTTCAGCCATGTTTTTCTGTGCATCCCCAGTAAGCAGAAAGCCACTCATTCCATTCCTCAACCCAGGATCTGGCATGGGTTTGAGAGAGAAGGGGTTCATGCTAGCACATGCCCAGTTGCTCAGTGCTGCTACTAGAAATCAATTTGCATAGTCCAATGGATGTGTGCCTTTACATTACTATGCTGCACAAAAATTACAAAGCCAAAAAATACTCTTACATGAAGCTTTTACAAAAGCTGATATAAAATGGCTTACATAGTATACAAAGCTCTATTTTAAAATTTAACCTTTATTTTAAATAGGAAAGCATTTCTAATGCTACAGGCATCAAGGTATTTCAAAGGCATCAAAGTTTGGTGCATAGCAACTCTGGATCATGGAGGCTTCTTTCTTAGGGGAAGCAAAGCAACCCCCAAAGGGTCTTGGAAGGAGACCTTTTACAAGAACCCTAGGTGAGGCAGCTAACCAGGGGCAAGAAGGTGGAGGCAAGACTGGTCACTTCTCTCAAACTTGACCTGAGAAGCCAACCAACTGCTTCTTCAAGGGAACCTGTGGGTTTGCAACTCCAGGTCTTGAAGCAAATTTCCTATCACACACTACATGTCACAAAACTTTCAAAGACTATTTAGCTGAACTCCAAGAAAGGTTAGAGTGATTTGCTGAAGGATTGACATTTTTCCATAACTAGCTATAGGGGGAAAATCTAAAACAACATTTTTTTTTCCTTAAACATGTTTTCTCATCCTGGTCAAGAACTTTTACACTGACTAGAGGTGGTGAGCAACAGGTTGATCCCCTTAGCCTCATTAAACAGAGTGTTTAGCATGTAGGGCCCATAATCCCTGGAATAAAAGCATTAAGTCTTCAACCGTCCAGCATACTATCTGACATGGAGGCATTCAAAAAATGTGCTTCTTAAATAAAGTATATTATCCATCTGAAAACACACTTTTAGGTAACAAACCTCATTAGCAAAGAAGTAAGGGCAGGATTTGGAGAAAGTCCCCAGTTTGGGCACCTCCTTTGGTAGATAGCACGCTGAAGTTCTACTGGGCTCTGTCTTGGACGCTAGCCTCCCCAGCCACAGCACCAGGACATCTTTGGTGTCCAGGGTTGGGTCTATGATGCCATCTCATTTTTGGATGTGACCTCAAAACCTGGGGAAAAGGCTGGTTTTCAGGTCATACAGACGAGATTGCGTAGACCAGAATCATGTTGGGTTGTAAACCACAGAAGCTAAGTCAGCCAGTGTGCATCTTAAATCCTTCCCGCTCCAAGTCCTGCACCTTCTCTTCCTGTCCTGATGCACAGCGCTGGTCTGTACTTGCCCCTGACCCAGCCTGGCCTCTAGCAAACAGTGAGGACTGAGAAACTGCTTGAGCCTTTATGGGACTGGCTTCAAGGGTCACAGCACAGCTAAAGGCAGCTGCTGCCACTAGGAACAGGTTCTGGGGCCAGAGGACAAACACCAGGAGTCCTCCACAGCCTATCAGTTTTAAGAGGGCAGGAAACAGCTAAAACCCCACTTCTCAAAAGTCTCCTGACACAGCTAAGGTCCTAAGGGGAAAAAGCAACTTCAACCTGGAGCCAGTATGGAGAGACTGCAGGAAGATTACCTAGAAAGTTACAAAATTGCTATGTTCTGGAATGTCTTTATATTCCAACATTTCAATGATGGAATGGTCTTGTTTTATCTAACAACAGTTTGCTTTTATAAAGAGGTATGAGCTACATTTGGCTTCATTTCCTATGAATCTATGAAAGGCTTCAGGAAACATGCTAAGTTTCTGATGCATAGGTGTGGGCTTGGGACAATTTTTTTTTTTCTATTTTGTTTGCCTCTGGAAGGTTTTATCAAAAGTTCTTATTTTAAAAATATCATCAAAACTAAAGGGCCCTTCAAATGACCAGAAAGCAGTACAAATCATCAACCCCAGATAAGCAACCAGGTTACCCGCAAAAGCAGCATCTCTGAAATGGAGCTTGCTGCATTCACACTCAGAGCACCCATCATATAAAAGTATCCTATTTAAATATCAAAAAGCAAAGCTCATTTTCCCAAAGCACAAACAGTCTATGCAGTTCCTGTTCTTTTACAAAATCTACCCAAGGCCTGAGGTGGAGGAATGAGGCTTTCCCCGAAAATGCCGAGTCCAACTCCGGGCACTGGTCCTGATGGCCACAGAGCTGGAAACTGAAGATCCAACGAAGAGAAGCACACTGAGACGTTGCCGTCGACAAAAGGCTACAGCGGCACTGCTACAGCCCGTCGGATCTTCCCAAATCCAGGGACTTGGGACCTGGAAGGGGAGCCTCCTGGCTCACCCCTGGTCCTTGGGAGACAGAAATCTGGGACATATCTCTCCCAATTATCTCATTCACTGAAAAATAAGAATAGGGAGAATGATCAGTGACTTCTCAGAGACTGTCCATGTGATGCCAAATGCTGAGCACTCTCCCAAGCTAAGTGGCATCAGAAGCAGAAATATTCCCCAAGCTGCTTTCAGTTTAAGTTGGAGGCTCAGAGAACAGAAAACGTTTTTACCACCACTCTATAGGCTCAAGGTCCAAAGTAGTGTATAGGAAAAATTTTAAAATATAGATTTATTCATTTTTATTTGAAGACAGATTTTTAAAATATAGATTTATTCATTTTTACTTTACAGAAGAAGAAGGAAGAGAGAGACCTTCCATCCACTAGCTGCAATGACCATAGCTAAGAAGGCCCAAAGCTTGGAGTCAGGAGATTTTTCTGGTTCTTCTGTGTGGGTACAGGGTCCCAAGGCCATGGGTCACCATCCAGGCCATAAGCAGAGAGCTGAACTGGAAGTGGAACAGCCAGGACACGAGCCCATAGGAGATCCTTATGTTTGCTAGGTGAGGATTTCGTCAATGCACCATTGTACCAGGCCCTACACCCCAACAAGGACCTTTTGAAGTATTTAACTTGATGTAACATTTCCTTAGTGTTTTTGGAAAGGTTTCTAATTCCCACAGTATCACCTGGTATATAAAGTAAACAGTGTAAACAAATGCCTTGCACTAATTGGTAAAACACAGATTTCAAGGTTATTTGTTCTATCAACATAGAACATGTGGAGCACAGTTTGTTGTGAGGTCCAGTATAAAGAACTTTCAGGCCAGGTGTCATAGCTCAGTGGTTAAACCCTTGCCTTGTAACTGCCAGGATCCGACGTGGGCACCGGTTCATGTCCTGGCTGATCCACTTCCCTTCAAGCTCCCTGCTTGTGGACTGGGAAAGCAGTCAAGGACAGCCGAAAGCCTTGGAACCCTGCACCCATGTTGGGAGACCCAGAGGAGGCTCTTGGCTCCTGGCTCTGGATCAACTCAGCCCTGGTCTTTGTGGCGACTTAAAAAATGAACCAGCTAACAGAAGGTCTTTCTGTTTCCTTTCTGTGGATCTGCCTTTGCAATAAAAATAAATCTTAAAAAAAAAAAATTCATCTTCTAGAACCAATATAGAGGGAAATTCCAAATTCCCCCAAGTAAAAGTTTAATTCTCAAAATATTTCATTTCTAGTATTCTCAAACTAAAGATTCTATTATTAATTCCATTCCTAAGCACATATACATGAGAACTGAACACATATCCACATAAAAATTTGTAATTCACCTTTCACACCAGCGTTATTCATTTAGCCAAATGCCTACCAAGTAACAAATGGTAAAAAAAAAAAAAAAAAACAAAACATGGAGAAGCAGGTAAATGTGATTCATAGAATGCTCAGCTTTAAAATGGGGTGAAGTTCTGTTGGTACTACACTGATGGACCTTGGAAATCATGCTAAGTGAAAGGAACTAGTTACAAAAGGACACATAATATTCCATTTATATACACCAATCCAGAGACAGAAAATAGATTATGAGCTCAGTGTAATGGCTCAACTGGCTAATCTTCCCCCTTTAAGCTCAGGATCCCACATGAGAACTGGTTTATGTCCTGGCTGCTCCACTTCCCAGTCAGCTCCCTACTTGTTGCTTGGAAAAGCAGCATAGGATGGGCCAAGGCCTTGAGACCCTGTGCCCATGTGGGAGACTTGAGAGGGGATTCCTGGCTCCTGACTTCAAATCTGCCCAGCTCTGGCCATTGTGGCTACTTGGGGAATTAGCTAGTGGATGGAGAATCTTCCTCGCTGAATATGCCTTTCAATTACTACATGCATGGAGAGAGAAACAGGTAATGTCTAGTAACGAGTATGAGATTTCTTTTTGGCATAATAAAAATGTTCTAAAATTAGCCAGTGGTGATGGTTGCACAACTGTGACTCTACAAAAAGCCACTTAATTATATACTTCTGAGGGTGAGCTTTTGTAGTTTTTAAACATCTCAATACAACTGTTCAAAGCAGACCAAAACATAAAGCAAAGCAGACACCAGTGATCATGCTTAAAATCATTCAACTAGTTTATGTAGTTTGTTTGAAAAGCAGAGACAAAGATGATTTATCAGTACAACTAGCAAAAAAGTCAGGACTGGTTCAGGTCACAACCAGGAACTCTAAACTCAAGCTAGGCCTTCTCAGCAAGAAGCCAAAATTGAAATTACAGGTGAGACTCAAACTCAGGAGCACCAACATGGGGGTCAGGCATTCCAGCGGATGCTTTTCTTGCTGTGCCAAATGCTGTGTCCCAATTTTTAAAAGATTGATGGACAGCCTTTTAATCATTATGTAATTATGAAAATATTTTTCAGTTTTCTGTACTGATGACTATAGGGGAAGGGAACTGACATTTACACATTCCACAAATACTTACTTAAACTTTACAACTGAACTTAAGATTTTTTTACTTTTTAAAAAAATGTTATCATTTGAAAAATTTATATAAGATTAGTAAGTTTCACATTTTCCTGATTCAGATTTAGAAGTATTGGGGTTCCTCCCACTGACCATCTGATTACCACTACCAATACTGAGCCTAAGAAAGGAAAGAATGATGCTGTCACTACTGGAACTAAAAAGGGAATGAGTTTTAGAGCAGGAATGTGGTTGCTTAAGTTTGAAAATGGAACTTAAGGGCCTGGTGCAATAGCGTAGTGGTTAAAGTCCTTGCCTTGCATGCCCAGGATCCCATATGGCCACCGGTTCTAATCCCAGCAGTCCCGCTTCCCATCTAGCTCCCTGCTTGTGGCCTGGGAAAGCAGTCAAAGACAGGCCAAAGCATTGGGACCCTGCATCCACATGGGAGACCAGGAAGAGGCTCCTGGTTCCTGGCTTCGGATTGGCTCAGCTCCAGCCGTTGCGGCCTCTTGGGGAGTGAATCATTGGATGGAAGACCTTCCTCTCTGTTTCTCCTCTCTGTATATCTGCCTTTCCAATAAAAAAAATAAATCTTAAGAAAAAAAAAAAGGAACTGAAAATGCAAACATTCCAGTGGCATAATTAGTAGGCAGAAGATTATAAGAACCATAAATTCGGGTATATTCATAGCCTTTAGATAGCAAGAAGCAAATTTATTTTTAAAGATTTATTTTTATTATTTTTTTATTGGAAAGGCAGATATACAGAGAGGAGAGACAGAGAGGAAGATCTTCCATCCGATGATTCACTCCCCAAGTGAGTGCAACGGCCGATGCTATGCCGATCCGAAGCCAGGAGCCTCTTCCGGGTCTCCCACGCGGGTGCAGGGTCCCAAAGCTTTGGGGAAGCAAATTTATTAAATATATATTTTTAAAATGGCCCCTGATTTTGAAAGTCATCTTTCTCATCACTTTAATCATTAGTGACTATATACATTGAGTGCAGAGTAACAGTTCTTGACAATTATTATTTCTACTGGAAAAGCAGATTTACAGAGAGAAAGACTGAAAGATCTTCCATCTGCTGGTTCACTCCTAAAGTGGCTGCAACAGAACTGAGCTGATCTGAAGCCAGAGGCTTCTTCCAGATCTCCCACATGGGTTCAGGGTTCCAAGGCTTTTAGCCATCCTCTGCTTTCTCAGGCCACAAACAGGGAGATGGAAGGGAACTGGAGCAGCTGGGACATGAACTGGCACCCATATGAGATCCTGGCAGATACAAGTTGAGGTATTTTGCAATTAGGCTTCATGCCGAGCCCTTTATTTGGGGATCTGAAACAACAAAAATGATGTTTAAGTAACTGCTCCAGGTGAATTACTGAACAATATTTTTAGAAAAGGGGTGGATATTATGGCACAGCAGGTTGAGGTACCACTAGGGATACCAGCATCTCATTATCCAAGCATTGGTTTGAGACTCATATGTACTTGAGATTTCATATCTGACCCAGGTCCCTAAAGCATGCCTGGGAAAGGAGCAGAAGATGTGTCATACTCGGGTCCTTCCTGGCCATGCGAGAGAATGGATGGCATTTCTGGCTCCTGGCTGTTGTGAATTTTTATAGAGTGAACTGTCAGATAAAAAATTTCTCTTCCTCTAAGTCACTTTGTTTTTCAGATAAATAGATAAATCTTAGCAAAATGAAATAAAACAAAACATGGAAGTTATAACTGTTACAAAGTACTTTAATAATCCTTGAGCAAAAACAGCCTGTAGAGCCACTGAATAAAGCCACCACCTGCAGCAATGGTATCCCATATAGGTTATAGTTCAAGACCCAACTGGTGGGCCCAGCGTGGTGGCCTAGTGGCTAAAGTCCTCACCTTGAATATGCCAGGATCCCATATGGGCGCTGGTTCTGGTCCAGGAAGCCCTGCTTCCCATCCAGCTCCCTGCTTGTGGCCTGGGAAAGCAATGGAGGACGGCCCAAAACCTTGGGATCCTGCACCCACGTGGGAGACCTGGAGGAGGTTCCTGGTCCCTGGCTTCAAATCAGCGTAAACCAGCCGTTGCAGTCACTTGGCTTTCTCTCTGTCTCTCCTCTCTGTGTATCTGACTTTCCAATAAAAATAAACAAATCTTAAAAGACCTAGCTGATCCCTTTTTTTCCTTTCTTCATCTCTCCTTTCTTCTTCTTCTTTATTTTTTTTTTCCTTTTTAGGATTTATTCATTTTTATTGGAAAGGCAAATTTACAGAGGGAAGGAGGAACAGAGAAATAGCTTCCATTTGCTGGTTCACTCCCAAATGGCTGCAATGGCCAGAGCTAAGCCAATAAGAAGCCAGGAGCCGCGAGCTTATTCTGGGTCTCCTAAATGTGTGTTAGATTCCCAGGGCATTGGGCCATCCTCCACTGCTTTCCCAGGACATAAGCAGGGAGCTGGATTGGAAGTTGAGCAGCTGGGCCATGAACGAGCATCAACATGGGCTGTCTGTGCTTGGAGGTGGAGAATTAACTAGCCAGTCCCTGCTCCATTTCTGACCCGCTGCTCCGTGATAATGCACTTGGGAAAACAGAAGATGGCTGTAGAACTTAGGTTCCTGCACCTACATGGGAGATTC